AAGTGAACCAACCTTTGCATCATCTGGGTATTGGAAGGAGAAGAAAGAAAAGAAATGAAAACCTATTTGAAGAAATAATGATGGAAAACTCCCCTAACCTAGTACAGGAAGTAGATACACAAGTCCAGGAAGTGCAGAGAGTCCCAAACAAGATGAGCTCAAACAGGCTCACACTAACACACATCATAATTAAAATGCCAAAGGTTAAAGACAAATATAAAATTTTATAAGCAGCAAGAGAAAGTAGTTAGTGACCTACAAAGGGAGCTCCCATAAGACTGTCAGTTAATTTCTCAACAGAATTTTGCAGGCCAGAGGGATTAGCATGAAACATTCATAGTAATTAAAAGCAAGGACCTACAACCAAGATTCCTCTACTCAACAAGGCTATCATTTAGAATCGAAGGACAAATAAAGAGCTTCCTAGACAAGAAAAAGCTAAAGAAGTTCACCACCACCAAACCATTTATTACAAAAAATAAGATATACCTATCAATAATTACTTTAAATGTTAATAGATTAAATGGTCCAATCAACAGACATAGGATGGCCAAATGAATAAAAATACAAGACCCATACATATATTGCCTACAAGAGTCCCACTTCAGGTGAAAAGACACACGAAGACTGAAAAGAAAAAGAAAAAGATATTTCATGCAAATGGAAACAAAAAAAAGCTGGGGTAGCAATATTTATCAGATAAAACACACTTTTAAACAAAGGCTATAGCCCTGGCCAGTTTGGCTCAGCAGTTAGAGCACTGGCCTGTGGACCAAAAAGTCTCGGGTTCAATTCCAGTCAAGGGCACGTACCTCAGCTGCAGTTAGATTCCCAGCCCTGGTTGGGGTCATGCTGGAGGCAACCAGTTGATGTGTCTCTCTCACATGGAAGTTTCTCCCTCTCTCTCCCTCCCTGCCTCCTTCTTTCCCTCCTACTCTATCTAAAAAAAGGGGGGGGGGATATCCTCAGGTGAGGATTAAAAAATAAATAAACAAAGGCTATAACAAGAGACAAAGAAGGATCCAGCAATTCCACTTCTGGGTATTTATCCCAAGAAACCCAAAACACTAACTCAAAAAGACACATGCATCCCTTTGTTCATTGCAGCATTACTTAACAATAGCCAAGATATAGAAACAACCTAAGTATCCATCCATAGACAAATGGATAATGAAGATGGAATATGACTCAGCTATAAAAAAGAATGAAATCTCAGTATTTGCTACAACATGGATGGACCTAGAGGGCATTATGTTAAGTGAAATAAGACAAAGACAAAAGCCATATGATTTCCCTTACATGTAGAATCTCAAAAACATAAATAAATGGATAAACAAAATAGAAATAAACTCATAGATACAGAGAATACTTTGATGGTTTCCAGATGGGAGGGGTGTTGGGAGAATGAATGAAAATGGGAAGGGATTAAAACGTGCCAATTGCCAGTTAATAAACAGTCAAGGGGATATAAAGTACAGCATAGGGAAGTCAATCATATTGTAATAACTATGTATGGTACCAAATGGCTACTAGATTTATCAGGATGATCACTTCGTAAGTTATATAAATGTCTAGAGTCTTAGTGGAAGGGCTTGAAAAGAGGAGCAGCTGGTGAGGAGGCATTGCAAAGGAAAGATGGTGTTGCAAGACAAAATTCAAGGTATGAAGAATGCTGTTCCTAAGAATGCAAAAAGAGGAAGAAGCAACTCACTGAAGATATTACTAACTTGGAAGCAAAAATGAAACAGAAAAATAGAGAAGAACTAAAGTAATTTAAGCTAACTTCTAAGGAGAGTAAAAGACATTCTGGTGCTATTAATACTTCAAACTTGGTTCTTGAGAATCAGCCACCAGGGATATCAAGAGCACAAAAGAAATGGGACAAAAAAGCTGCACTGGAAAAGGAGCCGAAAGAAAGTGTAGCTGAAGCTGAAATTGAGAATTTATAGGGAGCCAGACATGTAGAAAGTGAAAAACTTGCTCAACTATTGGCAGCTAGACAGTTAGAAATTAAACAGATTCCATCTGATGGCCAGCATATAGAGAGCCATTGAAGATCAACTAAAAGAACAGGAATGCCCTCTGACTGTAGCTGTTTTAAGCAAACTGCTATGTATGCAAAGTCACATGAAAGACTTTCTGCCATTTTTAACAAACACTAATATGGGAGACATGTATACTCCAAAAAAGTTTGCAAGTACTGTGATGATATAAACATAGCTGCATAAGGCGGTTAGCTTGAGCTAAGAGACCTGTCTCATATTTTACAAACACCAACAGAGGTAATATAGGCAGACCCCTCCCCCCCACACACCTATTGTAGCTGGTAAAGAATATCCAAAAAAACACTATTAATTCTTATATATATGAGACATGCATATGGCTAACATTACAATTCTGTTATATAGTTAGTGAACAAAGCTCATGAAAACTGAAGCTAGTTTATAAAAGGTTGCACAATTCTGTTTTAGTGTAGTGTGCCAATATGAGTATTCATGCCAAGTGCTAGACTGTTCTAAATGTTACTGAAAAACACATCTACTTTAAATCAGTTTTATGGCAAAGCTGCTAACAGGTTTTTTAAAAAAATATATATGTGTCAGAGATCAACTTCAACCAGTATTACCTTAGTGGTATTTTGTTTGTTAATCCTCAATGGAGGCTATTTTTTTCCCTTAATTTTTTTTTTTTTTAAAGATAGAGTGGAAGGCAGGGAGAGAGACACAGAGAGAGAAACATTGATGTGAGAGAGACACATCGGTTGGCTGGTCCCATACATACCCTGGGTGGGGCAGGGGATTGAACCTGCAACCTAGTTACATGCTCTTAGTGCAGGATGACATTCTAACCACTGAGCCACACCAACCAGGGCCCCTCAGTAGTATTTTAAAAATACTTGTAAGTCCTTTATGGAGAACATCATTCACAGACCAAGATATAATCCTATTTGCTTATATTTTTATTAATATAGCATCCTGAACATTCTGTTGAAATAAATCTTAAATGTTTTACTAAAAGCTTTCAGTAACCATTTCAATGTAATTTCTCTTGAAGAAATGAAATAACTCAGTCTCTTTGTCACCGCAATAAAGTGGGGATGTTGACAGCAAATGTAATTAACACTTATAAATAAACTGGATTGCAGTAACCTGGTATTGATAGCATTAATGCTGTAAAGCTTTTTTATAGCCCCATCCAAGTGCAGCTAAGCTTATTTTAATGACAAAGGGCAACAAGCCACAATGATAAAAACTAAAAATAAAAATCTTCTTTTTTTGTTTTATAGACCTGTTGTGGTCTTTCTGTTGTTGTTTTTTTAAGTCTTCACCTGAGGATATTTTTCCATTGATTTCTAGAGAGAACAGAAGGGAGGGAGAAAAGAAGAGAGAAAGAGAGAAACATCAATGTGAGAGATACACAGCAACTGGTTGCCTTCCACATGACCCAACCAGGGCCAGAATCTAACCTGCAACCCAGGCATGCTCTTGACCGGGAATCCAACCTGAAACTTTTCAGTCCATAGGCCAACGCTCTAACCACTGAGCAAAACCGGCCCGGACATCATTTTTTTCTTATTATTATTAATTTGAGAGTGGGGAAGGGTGAAAGAAGAAAAAAGGGAGGGAGGGAGCAAGAGAGAGAGAGAGAGAAACATGGATTTTGTTGTTCCACTTATTTATGCATTCACTGATTGATTCTTGTATGTGCCCTGATCAGGAATTGAATCCACAACCTTGGCATATCATCCTAACCAACTGAGCTACCTGGCCAGGGCTGTTCATTTTATTTCTTCACCATTTCCCTTGAGTTCAAATGTAAACTCTGCTCTGCTTATGTCCTCATATATAAACTGAAATACTGTGCTACAATCTCAACTTGTTACTGACCTCAAACTTGGCTTGGAGAAAGACCCCACATTTCCTTTGACCCTGGAGATAACCTAAGAATTTTTTTTTAACCTCACCTGAGGATATTTTTCCATTTATCTTCAGATAGAGTGGAAGAGAGAGAGAAACAGAAACATCAGTGTGAGAGACACATCGCACGGTTGTCCCCCGCAAGACCCTGATCAGGGTGGGGGATGAACTACAACCGAGGTATGTGCCCTTGACTGGAATCAAACCCGCAACTTACTAGTCCACGGGCCGACGCTGAGCCAAAATCAGCCAGGGCAATCTAAGAATTCTTACGCAAACTAATGGCTCACTGTTCCTGCACTAAATCAATTTGAGCTTCTCACAAGAAAAATCTAGTTACTCATTTTGGTCTCTCTGACTATCCTGTTTCCTGTATCCACATTCTGAGCTGATTCAAAATTCCAATAATAAGCTCTTCTATCCCATTCTGGAACTAAGAAACCAACAAGCATACCTAGCATTACACACAGTAACCAAGCCCATGTCATCAATTAAAAATTAATAACAACACCCTGGCCTGTTTGGCTCAGCGGATTAAAGCATCAGCCCTCAGATGGAAGGGTCACGAGTTTGATTCCCAAAGGCACATACCTGGGTTGCAAGTTCGATCCCCAGCCCCAGTTGGGGTTGTGTGGGAGACAACCAACTGACGTGTCTGTCTCACATCGATGCCCTCCCTCCCCCACCTTCCATTCTATCTTAAAAAAGCAAAACAAAAATTAATGGAAAAATATCCTCAGGCGAAGATTAACAACAACAACAAAAATTAATAACACCAACAGAAACCAAAACAAACCCATCCATTTTTCATTCAAATGTACACTCAAACAAACACATATTACTGAATCTGCATGGGGCCTATTTTAAAAGAAACCCTGTATGATATAGCTTAAAACCTATGGTCTAATATGTCATTTGCTTACACTAACATGCAAACTACCATATCTGTATTGAAATATAAGATTTAAAATGCTTATCATGACTATGATTCAAAAATTTATGTGTATGTATGCATGTGTGTGTGAGGTGGGAAGTGAAGAAGTGGCAGGGGAGGGTCAATTATACATGCATTTAAGTACTCACCTGCTCCAATTTAAAGATATGTTGATTAAAGTAGTGTTGTAAACGTTCATTGGCAAAATTAATACAAAATTGTTCAAAGCTGTTATTTTCATAATCTTCAAACCCAAAAATATCAAGAACACCAATGGATAAAGTCTGTAAAACAGAAAAAAAGTTATGGTTAAAAAATGATACTCAAATTTATTTCATGAATAACATCTACAATTATAAGAAACAAAATGCTCGAAGTTCTTCTACAGCACTAGAGAGTAGATTTTTGGGGGGACGCAATGTTGAACCAAAATATACCACCAATAAAAAGCATTTTAGTTCTCTTTATCTTTATTTTTTCTTTTTATCCTAATTATTTTTAAAAATCCAAAAATTTAACAAATGTAATCCACTGGTTATTCTACAGAAATGTACAAAGTAGGGACAGTGGCTGGTTATCTCAATCTCAGAAATTCCTCAACTCCAAGAGACAAGAGAATGGAAATAACAGGCTATGGGGCAATCAACAAGTTACTTAAGTGATACTAGGTCACTCCTGGCTATGCCTTGTTATATTAAGAGGATCATGCAATTTTTCCTACTTTGACTTCCATATCCCAACAGAATTCTGCTTTAAAAACCAAGCTAACAAGTATGTTTAATCAACCTTGTACAAGCTAGAAATAAAACTGAGTATTAGAATATGTGGTTTCTTTAATTTTTTATCAATAAAAACTGTACAAGGTTTATAATGTTAAATAGTTCTAAAAGGATTATAACAAAAAACACAATCTCTTCTTCATCTTCAATTTCTGCACCTTAAAGTCAACTACACTCAAATTTTTTAGGTGTTTGGTATGGAATAATATACTATGGCATACACATGTTTAGTCTTCTATTTCTTGATATTTCACTTGTAGAAATTGAGTATTTTGTTTTCCATAAGTATTTAAATCAGTGGTTCTCAACCTTCCTAATGCCACAACCCTTTAATACAGTTCCTCATGTTGTATGTGGACGTATCTGCATGTGGGCAGACCTGCCTGGAGACGGATAGAAGAGCGGTGTCTTGGTTCCTAAGACCATCAGAAATGTGTTTTTCGATGGTCTTAGGTGACTCCTGTGAAAGGGTCGTTCAATCCCCAAAGGGGTCATGACCCACAGGTTGAGAGCTGCTGATCTAAATCAATAAAATTCAGATCTAGCCCCAAGTGTCCCGCCACCCAGAAAAAGAGTATATTGTTGGATTAAGTCTGTTGACTAAATTCTAAGTCCTTATGAAAATAATGACCTCCAAAAATAAGTTAATTTCGTAAATTAAACTACAATTAAAATTAATATCCTAACTATGGGCTTACAGAAATCATGAAAAGTTTTTATGAAAGAAATTTTACATTTAATATGATTGAATTAAGTAATAAAGATGACATTTCCTTTTTTTTTTCTTTTCCCCATGTCCCAGTGCTTGAGGATAGAACCTATGAACAGAAGCTACCGGCACCAAAGACCCCAAGAGGGTTGGAGCAGGACATTACTGGGACTAGAACAGCATGCTCAATCCCCACCAAGAAAAAGATTAAAGATGACATTTCTAATCAGCCTGAAAAGGTAGACTATTCCATAAAAGCTGTTAGAAAATAAAACTGAATTTGAAATTAAAGTTAAATATCTAAAATCTGCCACATTAAAAATAAATTCCAATTGGAAAAAAGGCCTAAACATAAAAAATTATACTCTAAAAGTATGAGGATAAATATTTTATAATCTTGGGATGGAAGGGGCTTTCCTATGTATAAAAAATAAATAAAGTCCAGGACAATAAAGGAAAAAAATGACAAGAACTGCACAAAAATTTAAAACATACAGGCTTCAAACACACAACATAAACAGATCTTTCAAGTCAAGAGAAAATATTTGCAATGTATGTCAAACTAAATCTCTGCAATATCCAGATCCACAATGACTCCGAAGAAGGAATAACAAGATGACAAAATAAACATTAAAATATAAAAAATAGCCCTGACGGGTTTGGCTCAGCAGTTAGACCATCGACTGGAGGACCAAAGGGTCTCAGGTTCAATTTCCGGTCAGAAGCTCATATCTGCATTGCCAAGTTCCACCCCTAACCCCCAGATCAGGGTCCTGTGGGAGGCTACCAGTTAATGTGTCTCTCTCCCTCTTGCTCTCTTTCTCCCCACCCCCCGTCCCTCCCTTCCCCCCTCCCTCCCTACCAACCCCCCCCCCCACTCTACCTAAAAATTAATGGAAAAATATCCTCAGGTGAGGATTAACAACAACAAAAATATATATCAAAAATAATAAAGAAATAAAACAGAAAACATGAGGAGGTGCTCAACTTTCATCTAGCATTAAAAATACTGGCAACAAAATGGGCTAGTCTTCCTTATCAGATTAGCAGATAAAAATTCTGATAATATTCAATGTGAGAAAAGCTATAGGGAAATAGGCTACTACTGGAAGTATGGTATTTTTTGAAAAGCAATTTAGCAGCAGCTACAAAAATTTAAAAAAATATATATCCTTAAATCCAGCAATTCATTTTGAATAATTTGTCCTAGAAAAATGTACACAAAGAGTATTTGTTACATTATAATTTATAACAATAAAACAAATGTAAAATATTTTTAATGGGGGGAACTTATGGTATACATCCAAACTATATATTACAAATTTGATAAAAATAATAAGATACACATGCAGAAAACAGACTGACAGCTGTCCGAGGGGAGTTGACAGGCTGGGTGAAAAAGGTGAAGTGATTAAGCCAAAAAACCCCACAAACGAACAAACAAAAAAACTCATAGACACAGACAATACTATGGTGATTACTAGAGAAAAAGGGGGTTGGGGGGGGAGTGGAAGAGGGTAAAAGGGGGATAAATGGTGATAGAAGAAGACTTAATGTAGGGTAGTGAACACAATACAATATACAGAGGATGTATCATAGAATTGTTTTTATCTGAAACCTATATAGTTTTATTAATCAATGTCACCACAACAAATTCAATTTTAAAAAAATTCAATAAGGTACAGATATATTTCAAGACATACTAGGTAAAAAAATATATACAAGTCGTAGAAACAGTACAAATAGTGTGGATAAAAAAGGGGTTCTGTGGAAAGTAACCTCACAAGATCATAAATTCCTAACTGGGCAGGTCATGCTGGGTAGTCATGCCCCAGGCCTACAACTTCTTTGGTGAAAAGCTTCAAGCCAGCTATGTCCATTGTTCCTATGCATCTAGGTTAACAAACTTCTGAAATACCCAAGAGAGCACATAATCTTGTTTGTCCTGTTGCCTCCTCCCTCACCTTTAGGTAATCTTCCTTAGTTCCCTCCTAATTTCAAATGCAAAAAAGAGATAGCAAAAATGTTATTCTCCACAGTATTTGAGATCTTGCTGCTCCCCAGCATATGTCATCAGTTTGGCTCAAATGAACTCATAAAAATTCTTAACAGGTTTGGGTGTTTCTTACATCAACAATAGCATAACTGTATTTTTATGTTTAAAAGCAACTCTATATGCACATCTATAAGAATGTAAGTATATAAGAAAAAAGGTCGGAAGAGAAACAGATTAACAATTTCTCTACACAGGGTAATAAAAACAGAAATAAGGGGGGAAACAGCATGTAATAGAGATAAAAGATGAGTCTTACTTATGACTTTTACATACTTCTGTCTTTTTTAATTTACTGTATAAACCATTTCATTAAAACAGTTTTCTGGAAAAAAATATATACTTTATGTATATCTACCTTGGTATTTTGCTCCAAATCTTTACTACTCAGAAGTGCATGGTTAATCCGAAAAACTATCCAGTCAAATAGGGCACTATATAAAGACTTAGCCATGGAGTTCCTCACTGTCACAGCCTGAAAAAAAAAGAAAAGGTTAGGAGTACAAGTGAAATTGGCAATAATCTAACTAAGATACTATAACAAAGTGTGTTTTGTTTGCATTCAAAAAAGAAAACTTACTGTCATGAATTAAAATTTTTTTTTCTCAATATAAATAACCTATAATTATGTTTTCTCTATACACTAATTTAGTCCAACTCAAAGAACCTAGGCTAAAACTGTCTTGAAAAATAAGGGAAAATGTAGGTCACTCAGTTCAAAATAGTTTTACTGAAAATTAGGGTGTATCTTTCACCTAGTAAAGAAGATATAATAGGAAGTTTACAAACAAATGAACCTTGCCAGCTAAGTGGGGAAGAGTATTCCACACAAAGCAATAAATCTATTAGCAAAAAGGCATGTTATGTGCAGAATCCTAGTCAGACTCTTAAACAACAATCATAATATCACCACAATTACATTCCTGGTTGTCTTCAGCTTGTCATCGATAACAACCTCTAGAATTTCTCCATCCCTACACAGAGTAACAATTCTTTCATTATGGAGTTATGCAATTTATTTTTTCCCCCAATTCTAATTTTCCCCAGTTTACGGAAACTCTCTGTACTAGCCGCTCAATTTTTCTGTAAATCTGAAATTGTTTTAAAACATAAAGTCTACTAGTTAAAGAAAATTCAACATTTAAGAAGTACCACAGCCCTGGCCGGTTTGGCTCAGCGGTTAGAGTGTCGGCCTGCGATTCAGAGAGACCTGGGTTCGGTTTCGCTAAGGGCACGTAGCTCGGTTGCAGTTTGTCCCCGGCCCTGGTCGGTTATGCGGGTGGCAGCCACTCGATGTGTTCCTTTCACATCGATGTTTCTCTCTCTCTCTCTCTTCCTCTCTCTCCTTCCCACTCTACCTGAACAAAAAATGGAAAAATGTCCTCGGGTGAGGATAAAAAAAAAAAAAGAAGTACTACAGTCTGGCCGGTGTGGCTCAGTGGTTGAGCGTCAACCCATGCACCCAGAAGCTGCCGGTTTGATTACCAGTCAGAGCACATGCCCAGATTGTGGGCCCAATTCTCAGTGGGGGGCATGCAGGAGGCGGCCAAATGATGTTCTCTCTCATCGATGTTTCTCTCTCTCTCTCTCTCTCTCCCCCCTTCCTCCTCTCTCTAAAAATCAATCAAGAAAAAAAATTTGCAAAAAAAAGAAGTATTACAACCTGAAAGGGGGAAAGGGGGTAGGACACATATCTTAGATAATCTTGAGTCTTAGCACACTAGAATATAATAATTTATACATTTATTACCTAGGGACTTATTTTGAAGCTTGTATATTCAGGTACATATTTATATTCAGTTCTGAAGTTTAGAGGAAGTAGTAAGTAATGATTAACAGCTGGACTATCTTCCAATCCCAGTTTCTCTACTTATTCTGGCTGTGTGACCTTAATCAAATTACTTAAACTCTTATGCTACAACTTATATATTCTCAAAATAAAGATAATATAGACAACAAATGAATTTGTGTTATAAAAATAATAATAATAAAGCAAGCAAGCTTCAAGTTTCTAGACCAAAAAGGTCTCTCTCACACTGATGTTTGTTTCTCCCTCTCTCTCTCTCTCTCTCTCTCTCTCTCTCTCTCTCTCTCTCTCATTCTCCCCCTTCTTTCCTCCCTCCCACTCTATCTGAAAAATCAATGGGAAAATATCCTTGAGTAAGGACTAAAAAATATATATATACACACATTCTGTGTAAGGTGCTCCGGGGAGTCACATGACCGGGAAATGGACTGCCAGAAGAGAAACCAAAACCACCAAATACCTCCCCTCTTGGTTACTCAGAATCAAGTACCTTCCCTCTTTGTTCCTCAACCCCACCCCCCTATAAAACTTTCCTGGGCGTCCAAAACAGCACGACTTCCCTGGTCCATTCCACGTGGACCAGCAAACCTCACCTGGAATACTTCAATAAAATTTTTGCCCACTTTTGCGACTCCGTTTCTCTTTCTTCCTTACACTCTGATCATAATTAGCAAAAGTAAAACATTTTAAAACTGAATAAACATGCGCTGGCCAGTTTGGCTCAGCGGTTAGAGCATCAGCCTGCGGTCCAGAGAGACCCGGGTTCAGTTCCCACTAAGGGCACGTACCTCGGTTGCAGTTTGTCCCCGGCCCTGGTTGGTCGTGCGGGTGACAGCCACTCGATGTGTCCCTTTCATGTCAATGTTTCTCTCTCTCTCTCTCTCTCTCTCTCTCTCTCTTCCTCTCCCTCCCTCCCACTCTATCTGAACAAAAAATGGAAAAATGTCCTCAAATGAGGATTAAAAAATAAAAAAATAATAAAACTGAATAAACAAGCATAAGATACAAAAAATAAAACATGGGTTATCACAATAAATATAAATGGGTTGACATTTTTAGTTAAATTAAAAACTAAAATCCACCTATTTATGGTTTACAGTTAAGTACTATTTTCATACAGTCACATAGAATCCAGATTTACCAAAGTATACCAACACCTTTTTATCCCATAACTCTCAATATTATACTTTCAGCCTCTGTTCTCTGAAAATGCAGTCCTGCCTTTTCACAGTTTAGTCTCAGTACGCCTAATATCAACTAATATTTTCCCACCCAAACAAAATCTCATTTAGTGTTTCCTATCTCACTGGATAGTACCAATATTCTTACAGTTGTGTGAACCAGAAAAGTAGGACTCATCCTTGACATTACCTTCTTCCTCATTGCTTCCTCTTAAGCAAATCACGGCCAGATCCTGTTGATTTTAATGACCTAAATTTCTTTCATTTTAAACATATTGATTTCAAAAAGAAAAAGAAAGTCCAGCCGGTGTGGCTCAGTGGTTGAGCCTCAATCCATACAACAGAAGGTCGCAGGTTCGATTCCCGGTCAGGACACATGCCCAGGTGTGGGCCCAATCCCCAGTGGTGGGCATGCAGGAGGCGGCCAATCGATATTCTCTCTCATCAATGTTTCTATCTCTCTCTCTCCCTCTCTCTTCCAATCTCTCTCAAATCAATAAAAGGAAAAAATAAATAAATATATTGATTTCTCCCTATCAGAATCTCACCATTCTAGACAAAGCAACATCTTTCTCCACAGTACTACTATAGCCTCCAAATTAATCTTTCCATATTCACTCTTTTTTTAATACATTTTTTTTTTAGAGAGAGGAAGGGGAGAGAAACATCTATCAGTTGCCTCCCATATACACCCCGACCGGGGACCAAACCTTCAAAGTGGGCATTTGGCCTGATCAGGATTAGAACCGGCGACCTTTTGATGCACAGGACAACGCTCAACCAAGGAGCCACATTGGCCAGGGCTCACATGCACTCTTGCTCTGTTTTCGAATCCTAAGATGATCCCCAAGATTTCCATCTCCTGGTGTATATGTTCTGCAACACGTGTACAGAACTTACGTGTGGGCAAGACTATAAATATAATGGATTCACTCCCCTGCCTTGTATCACATGATAGAGGTGAAGGGATATTAAATATTTAATTATGGCCCCAAATCAGGGAGATTACCCTGTGTTGAGCTGACAATCAAAGAAAACTCTTAAACTGATTTCTTTCATCAGAGATTCTCTTGCTGGCTTTGAAGAAGAAAACTGCCATGTTGTGAACAGGACCACATGGCAGGAAATGGCAAGTAGACTCTAGCTGCTGAGAATGGCCCCTGACAACATGTTAGAGATCTCAGTCCTAACAACTTCAAAAAACTGAATCCTGACAACTTGTAAACTTGGAAGAGGATGTTGAGTCTCAGATTAGATTACAGCCTTGACAAAATCTTGACTTCAGCCTGGTGAAACTGAGCAGAGGACTCAGCTAACCTATGCTCAAACTTATGATCCATGAAAACTGTCAGATAATAAATCTGTATTAAATGGCTAAGTTTGTTACACAGCTACAAAAAACTAATATACTCTCTTCCAAATGACTCTTCACACTTACTGCCAGAGTGATCCTTTAAAAAAACCAACTAAGATACCTTTTTGGCTTAAAACATTTTAAGAACTTTCCATTGCTCTTCAGATGAAACACTAAAATCCTAAGAGACTGCTCATTTTATTTAAAATATGTTTTTATTAAATTTTTAGAAAGAAAGGAAGGGAGAGATAGAAACTTCCATATGAGAGAGATACATCGATTGGCTGACTCGTGTACACACCCCACTAAGGATTGAGTATGCAACCCAGGCATGTGCCCTGACTAGGAATCAAATCAGGACTTCCCAGTCCATGAGGCAACACCCAAATCCGCTGAGCCCCACCCACCAGGCTGCTCCTCATTTTATATCTAGTGCCTAGCTATTTTGAGCACATATTTCTAAACAAATAAAAACACTAAATAAATGTAAATAAAAATAAAGCACAGGCTATAAAAATAATCTCAGAAAGTTAAATCTAAAGTTAAAAATGTAAATAACCATAAAGAAATGTTTTATAATGAGACAATATAAAAGTAATGAACCTTTATGTAAAAGAGATTTGGATTTTTCTGCTATTTAGAAAGGAGCTCTCAAAGTTGGACACTATAAAATTTGACATAAGACACCTAACAGAATGAAGAAATGTAGATTTGTAGGTACAGTTAAGAGGAACCCAAAAAGTGGGATAAATAGGTCAATGTCAACCCAAAAAGCATTCTCTACAGTTCAATCACTATTTCCCCACCCTTGTGTCTTCTAATGTCATATTGCTGTCTATTTCTATAATTGTCAGTTTCACTTTGATAAAATTACACTATAAAATAGTCAGATTTTTCAATAATTTTTCAACCTCTATCCACCTGGGTAATACAATAACAATAATGGCTCACTATAGCAATAAATCTTACCTGGACATCTTACTATATAGATGATATTTAAAATCATGGGACTGGGTAAAATAATCTAGATAAAGAATACAGAGAGGAAAAGACAAAGACTTGTGTGTGTAGGGCATCCCATCTTTCAAAGTAAACAAATCAAACATTTAAAAAAAAAAACACAGAAAAAGTAAACCAGAAAAGTATGATGTACCAAAAGATAAGAAACTACCTCAAGAAGGAATACTCAATTGGGTCAAATACTGCTCATTTGTAATTCTACCTACCATCTCTTTATCCCATATCAATAATATGAACAAATTAAGGTATTTGAAGAAAAATGTAAGCCTATTGCTTAAAATCACATTCAACTTTAAGTTTCCAAGTTGATGAAAAGTTCACAAATTTCAAGGGCCCAGAAATATTTCAATCAACACTCTCCTATTGTTTTCATTTTGTGTTAAGAGATGACACAAATTCAAGGTTCTAAAAATGTTCAGAGTACTTGGATCCAAAGAAAATCTATTCATACCTCTGCGAGTCTGTATGGTAAAATAAGCTTTTCTCCCACTGTCACAGTCTTCCTCGTAACCAATGCTTCAAATAGCATCTCTTCTTTAACCTGTACAGCAGAAAAGCAAATTCAATATATAAGATATGTCATAACAGTAGTTTGAATTATTTATTGAAAAGCCATATAGAGAAAAAATTGAGGTTAGCAAACAGTAAACAGGGTAAAACAAAAACAATATACTGGGAATTTTAAATATATTCCCAATACTGTATTTTACATCCCTATGACTATTTTATAACTTCCGATTTGTACTTCTCAATCCCTTCACCTCAATGCCCAAAACGCCCTCCCCTCTGAAAAGCCATCAGTCTGTTCTCTATACTATCTATGAGTCTGTTTCTGTTTTTCGTTCGTTTATATTGTTCTTTAGATTCCACAAATAAGTGAAATCATATGGTACTTGTCTTTCTCTGACTGACTTATTTCACTTAGCATAATACCCCTAGTTCCAGATTCTTTTCTTAAATACAGAAAAAGTTATAAAAAGATGAAGAACTACCCAGTTCAATTTAAGGAGTTTTCTTAATGCTGGCACTAAAACTTGACAACAGTTGTACACAGGTCTAAACACTATGCACAATCATACAAAACACAACTAATTTTGCTTCCATCTGATAAGCATCCAAAATATTACTGAATTCATGATATACTTCTATAATTTTCCAAATATTCTTTTTTATCATCCTCACCCGAGGACATTTTCCATTCTTTGTTCAGATAGAGTGGGAGGGAGAGATAGGAACAGAGAGAGAGAGAAACATCTATGTGAAAGGGACACATCGAGTGGTCGCCACCCGCACAACCAACCAGGGCCGGGACAAACTGCAACCGAGGTACATGCCCTTAGCGGGAACCGAACCCGGGTCTCTCCGGACCGCAGGCTGACGCTCTAACCGCTGAGCCAAACCGGCCAGAGCTCCAAATATTCTTAACTCTGTGTGTGTGTGTGTGTGTGTATCTCTTTCAAAATTTTTTTAAAATTTATTAATACAAAATAATTAGCAATGGGCTAAATATCCAATATACAATGTTTCTCATAATCACCTAATTGAGAAACTGATACATGTTGAAAAACACATTATTTTTATTGTTTCAACAGATACTAAAATATAATTTTAAAAAAACTTGATAAAAACTAAATAGTTTTTGGTAATGGTGATCACTCTAATAGCTCACAACAAAAATGTGGTCTATAATTATCCACAGTTAACTTTTTGGAGCTTGTTCACCTTTCAATAATTTCACTATTATCTATCCCCAAAAGAATTTAGTAAACCGAAGCCTCAAAACAGTTGTCTGAGGTAACTACAAAAAAGTAATCTGAAAAATAAATCAAATTAAATCATTATTTTAAAAAAATTTTTATTGATTTTTAGAGAGAGAAATATTGATCTGAGAGAGAAACATCTAACACAGCTGCCTCCTGCACACACCATACTGGGATCAAGCCTGCAATCCAGGCATGTACCCTGACCAGCAATTAAACCAGTAACCTTTCAGTGCACGGGAAAATGCCAAACCAACTGAGCCACACCAGGCAGGGCAAATTAAACCATTATTTTAAAAACATTTGTTCTTATAAACTAAATATATTTATCATTAAATGAAATCGGTTTGGAAGGAGGAAAATTAAGTTAAATCTTAATTAAAAGTTTACATTTTGATGAAAGCAGTTACTGTGCCTAACTTTTAATTTTATCTCAACAAAAGCCTTAAGACTGTAATTATTTTCAATTGTGAACAATACAGACCATTTTTAAAAATTACTAAGAACTAACTATAGGCAAGATTACTATGGTAAGTGCTGTCATATCTTTTCTTCTTATTCCCAAATCTCTATTCCTAGAACCAGTCCAAACTATATATAACAAGAAATAATTTTAAAAGCTTGGGTTCTAAAGTGAGATTTGCTATCAAATCACATTCGCTATTAGCCTAACTTTTACAATAGTAGGCATTCTCAGGATTGGATTTCTCCTTTATTTTTTTTTTTACCAATACCGAGTTCTTCTTTGAATTGCCTGAATTACCAGTCTCTCATCAAAGAAGAAATAGTGCACTAGAACCAGAAGCCTTGGTACTTGTTGAATACCTGAACATGTAAGTAAGTTCACCAACCACAATCCCTGTATTACCACAATTCCAAATGTCTGACTAAAATGTCACCTGAAACGCAAATGCCTGACTGAAATATCATCTGTTCTCCAACTCTTATGACCTTCAAAATTAAAACCTTTAGATACCACACTCAACATCCTGGTAGAACTTCTTTCCAATGAGTGAGTCTAGTTCCAAATTATGTTACTCCTCCCTTCTCCTGCCAGGCTAACTCATTCCATTAGTCAATAAAACAACACCCAGACATGTACAAAATAATAAATACAACAAGGTTAGATGAACAAGAAAGAGGCATCCCCTGTTCTCAAAGAGCACTACTGTCTTATAATGGACACAAACTAGTAAACAATTAACTTTCTACTACAAAACCAAAAACAAACTATGCTAAATAGAAACTGATGAAGTCAGTTTAGACTATTTAACAAGGTTAAACCTCATGAACTGGCACATGAACCAATATTTGAAAGATGAGTATTATTTTAATAGAAAAAAGCTAGGTATTCATAATTGCAAAAAAAAAAAAAACAAACAAACTTGAAACCACCAAGATGTCCTTTAATAGGTGAATGGATAAACAAACTAATGGAATATTACCCAGCAATATAGAGAAGTGAGCTATCGAGACATGAGATATGGATGAATCTTAAATACATATTGCTAAGTGAAACAGGTCCGTCTGAAAAGGATATATACTGCATGATTCCAATTAGGTTACATTCTAGATAAGGCAAATTTACAGTTAGCAAAAAGATAAGTGGTTGTCAGGCATTAGCAGGGAGGGGTTGAATAAGTGAAGGAGATTTTTAGGGCAGAGAAACTATTTTGTATGATACTGTATAACAGGATACATGACCTTATGCCACTGTCAGAAACCACACAGCAGAAAGAGTGAATTTGTTTTTTAATCCTCACCCGAGGACATTTTTCCATTGCTTCCCAGAAAGAGTGGAAGGAAGAGAGCAAGGGAGGGAGGGAGAGAAAGAGAGAAACATCAATGTGAGAGAGAGACATCGATCAGTTGCCTCCGACAGGACCCTGACCAGGGTTGGGGATCAAACCCACAACCCAGGTACACACCCTCGACTGGAATCGAATCTGTGACCCTTCAGTCGAAGGACCAACATTCCAACCACTGAGCCAAACTGGCCAGGGCACAAAGAGTGAATCTTCATGTATGCAAAGTTTTAGAAAATTATTTAAGACGTTGGGGGATACTAATAAAGAATTCAGACCATGACAAGAGAATCTAACTGTATGACAAATATATGAAACAACCTCAGTGCTCAAGGAAGTGGGTGGGAAGAAAAAGTACTAACTTAACTAATTCTCAAACTGAAGGAAGTCTATAAAACTAAAGGCAAAAGGAACTACTACACATAAGCATTATGCTCTAGTTGATAAAGTTATTTTCTATGGGGTATGTGTTAACAATTCTAATACTGTTATACATATATATTAGAATTGAATAATTAAGTAAATGAATGGAAGATGATAGGAGACAGGTTCCTCATTGCTAGAGTGGGAAAAGGCTAGAATGACACGTGGTAATGGATTAGTTAGAAACATCAGCATGACTTTATATATATAGACAGTTAGACAAAAATATTTGTAGATATATGAAACCAAGTTCAGTATACACAACACATATTTCCTTATTCTGTCAGAGGAGAGAACCTATAAAAAAGGAAGCCCCTTTCAAAATGAATCTTGCAAGATGAGAAGTTATCTGGGAAAACATGAGAAATCTTTATTCCAGAAAGAAAGATTAAGGGAATATAAAGCCTTTGATATGGAAAGAAGCATGCCATGAGATTCTTATATAACTATGAAGAAAAATTGGTATTCTTTTCTCCCCACCCCTCCAAATACCCCATCTTCAAATAAAATAATCTAACCAAAATCTTAGCATGAGAAGAAATCTCAAATATAGATGAAAAATTAGCAAAGGCCTAAAACATTAAACAGTCTTGAGTGAAATATTCATCCTATACAGCAAATTGAGGGAAACACAAGAAAACCTGAATCTTCTAAAGATTGTGGAACACACCATAGCAAAATTTCCATCTTTTGAACAAACGTTATTAATAAAAAGCATTAATCTATTTACCCCTACAAAATGGTTACACAAAATAAAAATTGAGAAGTTACCCAGTATTTGAAATGACAATTGAGAATGTAATCACTCACTCACTTCTAATAATTCTGAGACAACAGGCAGAACTTCAGGGTTACAGATATCTATGGAGTCATCCCGGTATGTCTTCTTTTTATAACAGATATTACCCAAATGCAGTATTGCTGAAAGAAGAGAGAAAATCCTGCAAAAATAAAATGACAAATTAATTTCACCTCCAGAATTATAATCAAATAAATTAACTAGTATAAATATGACAGAGTGTTCAGAAATAAGAAATATGGAAATAATAATTATAACTATAACTAAAATTTAATGAGTGTTTACTATGTCAGGCACTGTGCAAAGTGCTTTACAAAACATTAATTTCAGTATTATATCTACCACTCGTCAGAAAAGTTGTCTGAAGGGGACTTCTTGCTACTATCTGAATCTGCTGTAGTGTTTCTAAAGTCCATACCTTTCTAAATGCCTTTCATCCTGAATGGAATGCCCTTTCCCTACATGTCTATTTCAGATCTAAAGAAACAGACTCTTTAAGGCCTTGGAATCTGTATTTTTTAACCAAGTAGCATAGGTTCTCTTTTATTAGTAGTTAAATATATATATTTTTTTATCCTCACCTGAGGACATTTTTTGTTCAGGTAGAGCGGGAGGGAGAGAGAGGAAGAGAGAGAGAGAAACATCGATGTGAAAGGGACACATCGAGTGGCTGCCACCCACACGACCAACCAGGGCCAGGGACAAACTGCAACTGAGGTACATGCCCTTAGCGGGAACCAAACCCGGGTCTCTCGGGACCGCAGGCCAACGCTCTAACCGCTGAGCCAAACCGGCCAGGGCTATTAGTAGTTATATTTAAGAAACATTTCCCTACATCATATTATGGTACCCTTGATAAATGTTTAAAAACAGCCTGAGGTCATTGGGTATATTATCTAATATCAGGCTCCTACTATGAAACATCTACATCTGGACCCTCCCATTTGTCTTTCTCTCCTGTCTCTGAGGAATACTTGCCCCTCTTCCAGTCAACAACCAATCCCTCCACTTATGCTTTCTACCCCATGAACTCCAGTTTACTCAGAAACATTATTATACCTTTTTCCTATCTCTTACATGAACCTACAAGAACTTTCTATCAAAATAATCTCATGTTCACTCTTCTCTCTTACTTTAAAAACCCCATCCTAAATCCCACATCTTCTCCTTCCCTTCACAAACAAGCATTAACTTATACTCCTTGTCTTCACTTTGTCATTCCTTATTTACTATCACTTTCTGGCATCTACAATGTCTCATAGAGCCCTGGCTGGTTTGGCTCAGCGGTTAGAGAGCATCAGCCCACAGACTGAAGGGTTGCAGGTTTGATCCCGGCCCGGGGTGGGGTCATGCAGGAGGCAACCAATTGATGTGTCTTTCTCCTTTTTTTTTTTATCCTCACCCGAGGATATTTTTCCATTTTTTGTACAGATAGAGTGGGAGGGAGAGAGAGGAAGCGAGAGACAGACAGAAACATCGACGTGAAGGGACACATCGAGTGGCTGCCACCCGCATGACCAACCAGGACCGGGGACAAACTGCAACCGAAGTACGTGCCCTTAGCGGGAACCGAACCCGGGTCTCTCCAGACCGCAGGCCGACGCTCTAACCGCTGAGCCAAACTGGCCAGGGCTGATGTGTCTTTCTCATATCCATGTTTCTCACTCTCTCCCCTTCCCTCCCTCCCTTCCACTCCCTCTAAAAGTCAATGGAAAAATATCCTTGGGTGAGAATTAGCACACACACAAGAAAAGAATAAAAATAAAATGTCTCACAGAGGTTACCAAGGACTTCCATGTAACTAAGAAAAGCATATTATTCCTTAACTTATCTGACATCTCGAAGGCATTTAACACAACTAAACATCTAGAACTGAACACAACTCCATCTAAAAGCCATTCCTGGAAATCGATATACACACATATCTTCGCGCCTTGACCAGTTTATTCCCTTAAGGTAAATTTGTTCTACTTATAAAATTTTAACTATGTGTTTTCCTAAAAGTAGGAAGTATTCTAAATAAAACAAAGATACTGCTTTAGGGACCGAAAAGCTATTATTTTCAGAGGTCCTGACTCAATATCGAATTTACAGGTCTAATTTCTCATTTAAAAAGAAATTTTTTTTGGTTAACGTAAACTCTAACTGCTGAAACAAACTAGCCAGGGCTAAACATTTTTTTAAATCAACATCTAATTTATAGGTCTAATTTCTCAAACAAATAAAAAATTGTTAATGATCCAAACAAAATACAAGTCAATTATAAAGGAATAAATCATAAAATTAGGCTGGGTTAAATTAAAGAGGAAACTTAGTATTAACTGAAATATTATAAAAACTAATGGAAGCCAAAATACAAAAGCACTAATTTCTGAGCCATTTTTTAAAAACTGTTTTTAGCAGTAGTCTCTATGGTTGCTAATTACATTGTTTCAGAATTTTGGGTTCAAATTTCAGCACATTAATGTTTTCTCACACACGAATATGTGATGTATAGACTCCAGCAATAAGAAACATCATATGAGCGAATCAATTTACTATAATTCAAAAAAAAAAGATCAATAAATATAAGAATCCTTGTTCTCAAAAAGCTCATAATCTTACATTAGGAGATAACAATAAATAACCATACTATAGGGCAGGATATCTTAAAATACAGAAGGCAGAAACAATGTACAGTTAAAGTTACACTAAAAAGATAAAACATGTACTCTAAACAAACAGGTACTCTAAAAAAAACAGGTTTTAATTCAAATGTCAATTATTAGGCTACCTGAAAGGTTGTATTAAGAGGAATTCTGGGGTAGATCTGAGCGCAATAGAAAACAATGCTGTGATATATTAGTAGATTCAACCATGATCACAGCAGAAGGGAATAGCAACACATACGATATGCCCTCTACCCAAAAAATATAAGTATTTGAATGAGTGAAAAAGAGATGAAGATCATTCCTTCATGGAATGAAAAAAATAGTGAGTGTTCAGAATACAACATGATTTGTGTTAGAAAACATCTGAAGCTAATATCTGAGCAATAGAAAGGGTCAAATTTAATGTCACGTTACTGGGAACATAGTATTTTCAGTGGTTTCCAATATGAGATACTGTCACATCAGACAGTGTAAAAGACATCCTTAGTGTGTGAGAAGTAAATATTATATTTCCAACTTATGTTATCTTAAAACAAATGAAATTAAGTTGGACTATTATTTAGTATATAGATTGACAGATACTTCAGTCCAGAAGTCAGTCAGGCATCAGATGAGATAAATGCAGTATCATGGGGTAAGACTATATGAACACAGAATGGAGAAATTGACACAGTCTTCTCATTTATTTAGTAACTTTCCAGTAAATTTCAGTTTATGCCATTAAGTGGGTTTGCATATTTACATATTATTTAGTTTTAACTTATCGTTCATGAAAAGATTCTGGTAAAAAATCTGTTAATTGAAGATTCATTCCAATAATTTAATCACAAGCAAACAAGAAAATGTTAGAGCTGGTATTTTTCTACTCCTAGTATGAGTTTAAAAGTTGACAATATAATCAGATCTGATATATTTATCTACACCAGTTCCCGCCTCAAAAAAATAGTTATAGCCCTGGTCGGTGTGGCTTGGTTGATTGGGCATCGTCCTGTGCACCAAAAGGTTGCCGGATCAGGGCACATGCCCAGATTGTGGGCTTAACTCCTGGTAGGGGACATGCAGAGGGCTGCTGATCAATATTAGGCTCTCACATCAATATTTCTCTCTCTCTCCCTCTCTTCTCTCTCTAAAAATCAATGAACTATTACTTTAAAAAACAGTTATAAGTTACAATTTTTTTTCAAGCTTATTTGTATCTTTCATTTTAAATAGTTTGTTTTATGTTAAGTATAATTTACTTCATCTGTATATCCGTATATATCTTTTTATTTTGTTTATATTTCTATTTTGTTTATATTTAGTACAACAGTACAGAATAAATTTAAAATACATGAAAAATTATGTTTTACTGTTAGGTATGCTTGCTTTAAAAAGATTAAAGATCAATGATGTAGTAAACAAGAAACTATAAAAATAGTGTTATAAAGCAACAGTGTTTCAAGTAAGGTCCATGAGGAGGCTTCAGGGGAACCAGAAACTCTTACAATTATATACAAATATTTATAAATTTTACAGGAAGAAGAAGTGTTTTCAACTGATTCTCAAAGTATATCAAATAATTTATGACAAAAAGCAACTCAAAACAAGTCTTGTAGAAAAATAAATTTTCTAAGCCATGACTAAGATGAAAGAGGCACTAAATCAGGAATATAATAAAACTATTCCAAAGGACCAAGAAAATTTTTTAAATACACATCATAATTTGCTCTCTGTGTAGGGCATAAAAATACAATAAATAAACTCACTGTCTTCGTGTCTTGGGAAGAAATCCTACCATTTCCATGGCCAGCTGTAAGCGTTCAAAGTCATGCTTCAAATCTTCCCCTTCCACTGTGAAGCAATCCTGCTTTTTTTTTTTAAAGAGGAGAAAATAAAAATTATCTATTGAAAACACAAGCCATTACTATAAATACAGTAAGTACACCTATGCATAAAAATTAGAGCTGGTGAAATATTTAGACAGTCAAATTCATTAGATGTTTTATCTTATGCAAACTAAACACATACTTACCAAAATACCATTAAGTTACTTTTTTCTCCCTTTCACAATCACCAAGGCAAGAATCTCAAAAGCAACTTATGATACCAATTTTGATTTTGAGTGGTTCTGAAGAGTTTTAGAGACCCAAAACATTCAAGAGAGCTCAACTGTTCAAACAAGTGGAAATTATTCAACATATATTTAATAAATGACTACACATATGCAAGGCACTAAACTAGATCCTAGGACACAAAAATAAATTTTAGAAGAGGCAGTAATTTAGAACATAGGTTTATATGATACAAAAATGTTCCTGTTATATCAATAAAGATATAATATAAATAGCTCCTAATAAAATAATATAAACATGGTAATCAATGAGCAAAAGAAAACTGTACACTACCAGATAAAAAAATACACTTTTTTAGAGTAACCCTTTTGTTTCAGTTCCCCAAAAAATTCAAACATTAATACTGTACATTTAAGTCTTTTTTTTAAAGCTCTTTTACTGTTTCTTTGGTTATTTTTTTTAATATGTGAGAGGAAGGGAGAGGGAGAGAGAAAGAAACATCCATCAGTTGCCTCCTGCACACCCCACTACTGGGGATCGAGCCCACAACCCAGGCATGTGCCTTGGACGTAATCAAACCAGCGGCCTATCAATGATGCTCAACCAACTGAGCCACACCGCCCAGGGCTGTACACTTAAGTCTTCAAATCCCTTTACTATATGTTCTCAGAGTACATTACACTTACATTGTCAAAAATCTCACATGCATTTACTTTTGTAATGGCTATCATCCTTCAGAATGTTGTATCAAACACTCAGTATACACATTAATTGTTATCTGCTATATTCACTTCATATATCCAGCATCAAGTCGGGGCCAAGAAGAAAGTGGGTAATTACTGAAATAAATATATAATCACTGAATTACTGAATAAACACTGAATTGAATGGAATACTCATTTCTGAGAAATAAAGAGCTCGTGTTTTGTTTTGTTTTGTTTTTTTTATTTATTTTTTATCCTCATCCAAGGACATTTTTTCCATTTTTTGTTCAGATAGAGTGGGAGGGAAAGAGAGAAAGAGAGAAAGAAACATCAACATGAAAGGGACACATTGAGTGGCTGCCACCCACACAACCCAACCAGGGCCAGGGACAAACTGCAACACAGGTATGAGCCCTTAGCAAGAACCAAACCCAGGTCTCTATGGACCGCAGGCCAACGCTCTAACCGCTAAGCCAAACCAGCCAGGGCGTAAAGTGCTCGTTTTTTTTTAAGTATCAAGCATCTACCACATATAATCTGTTTCAGACACTGTAAGAGAGTTAATGAATACATTTAGATATATAGTTCAAAATTTTAAATTCACTTCAGTAAGAGTTCTTTCTGAGAACCCATGCATATTCTGCCTATAAAATTTTTGGTAAGCAGTTTCAAGACAATGTCCTACTTGGAGGCTTTTTGTGTTTTTTTCTTTATTGATGTTAGAGAGAGGAAGGGAGAGACAGAAACATCAATGAGAGAGAATATCGATTGGCCACCTCCTGCATGCCCCCCACTGGGGATCGGGCCCACAAACTGGGCATGTGTCCTGACTAGGAATTGAACTGGCAACCTCTTAGTGCATGGGTCGATGCACAGCCACTGAGCCATACCAGCCGGGCACTCGTTTTTGTTTTTGTTTTTACCTATACTACAGCTTTTAAAAATGCTCTTCTCGCCCTGGCTGGTTTGGCTCAGCGGTTAGAGCATCGGCCTGCGGTCCGGAGAGACCCGGGTTCAGTTGTCGCTAAGGGCATGTACCTCGGTTGCAGTTTGTCTCCAGCCCTGGTTGGCTGTGCAGGTGGCGACCACTCGATGTGTCCCTTTCACGTCGATGTTTCTCTCTCTCTCTGTTCCTCTCTCTCCCTCCCACTCTACCTGAACAAAAAATGGCAAAATGTCCTCGGGTGAGGATGATAAAAAAAAAAAAAGTGCTCTTCTCTTCCTCTAAAACCACAAACATTTCATTTACTTTATGATTTAGTAAACATTTCTCTATAACAAATAAGCGTTTGGGGGAGGGAGCTAAACTCAATGATATGACTCTTTAATTGATAGTGTTCTTATCTGTTCCCAAAATGAAAATAACAATATATATATATAATACTGAGGATGTAAATTGAAAAAAAACACTAAAATGTAAATACATTTATATTTGCTGTTATCCATAATCAACTGTTATTACAAAGTGGTCTCAGTGGACACCAAAATCACAATTTTTTTTAATGTGCACTTAAATGTTTCCCTGATGATATTAGAAAAACTAAGAATGAATTAATCTACCAGACCAGAAATATCCTTATCTTAATTTGGGTTCCTACAGAAGTAGACCTTGAGATTAAGATTCAGTACAAGTAGTAAGGAGATGGGAAAGTAAAATAGGGAAGGTAATGTACAACATTAAAGTAGTTACCACAGCAGGTAAATGGCGTTTAATCCCAAAGTAATCTCTGAGAAACAGTATAAAATGTACAGAGATGAGGGAGCTGCAGCATTTATATACACTCCCATCAGTCACTAGTTGAAGACTTCTGGAGAGAAGGGGAATGAGCTGTTAATTCCTAGGCCTGAAAAGCACAAAGGCTGGGTTCTAGAAAAAGTCTTCAGGCTCTCGCCAGTTTGGCTTAGCAGTTGGAGCATCGGCCTGTGGACCAGAGAGTCCCAGGTTCGGTTCCCGCTAGGGGCACGTACCAAAAAAAAAAAAAAAATTCCACAAAAGTCTTCAGGCACCAAGATACAAATACTGGCTGTTGGAGGTCACTGAGAGAACAGTGATCTGGTTAGGATTCAAACAGTAACGCAGGGAACTAATCCCCTGCCCCCAACTGTTACACCCCTCTCCAGTGAAAGAAGATAGGCAATTCCTCTTGTCAAACTCAGCTCAAGCTCTAGTCTTGTTTGATAATTTGCCACTGCACACTCCCCACAAACACAGCAAATTGTTCTTTTGTGACATCAGCTTTTTTCCCAATCCTTTCTCATTTACAAGTGCCCACAATAAACACAGCATGCAGTAGGCATTTAATATGGGTATGAGGAAGAGAAAGTGAAGGGTATAATCAAATTAGACATTTTTTTCTATGCTGTCTATATTTTTTAGAAAGGTATTTGGAAAATCATACTTTTTTATAACTACCAGTTGATAATGCAGGATATAAATCAGAATAATTGACTTTGAGAGTTAGTAAAGATACTAGAGTTCATTTACAGAAAAATTACATATATATAGATATATATATATATGTATATATATATATGAATCCCAACTGCACTATTAACTTCCTTCACCACCATGGGGAAGTCACTTAAATTCTAAACTCACCATTGTTTCTTAGGTGAAAGGTAATCATACTAACTACAACCAGGGGTTTTATAGTATCAAATATAATATGGATGTTAAAGTGGTTTTTAAATGGGAAAACGTATGCAAAAAAAGATGTACAGTATGAAGAGACCTTATATTGGACTGGCTCATGGTGAGTAGTAAAGCCAGAAAGGAAACATTTGAGGGAATGAGCACAAACATAAACTGTCAAGACAGGGAATGACGGGAGTCCTTATGCTGTAGAAACACTTAAAATAGAAAGAAATGGAAACATTACAGATTCAAAAAGTACTACCCAAGTTGCATCAGGATTTACCTATACTGTAGCAGGGAAAATATACATGTAACACTAATTGCTTAAGCTTATTTAATAGGATAATCCTTAAAAAGAATTAAATCAACATCCAATGGATAACACCAGGTCCTCTGTTAAAAGCAATCTTCTCATTATAGTCTCCCTTGGGATCATTTATACAATTCCATGTATGATAAGTAATATAGTACAAGTGACAGAACAGTCCATAACAATTCTTTCTATAATTCTACTTATATAAGTTCTAATAACAGAGGAAAACAAAGTTTAGTTTCCCCCAAAATATACTATGAGGAGGAGCTAAGAGGAAAGAACAAACCAAAAGATCCTTAGACTGACTGCTTGCTTTCATTTATTTTACTTATGGAAAAAAAAAGCAACAGAAATTATCATTCAAGTTCAAACTATAATAATGCCTGGCTGGTGTGGCCAAGAGGACGGAGTATCATCCCATGCACCAAGAGGCTGCTGGTTCAATTCCCAGTCAGGGAACATACCTGAATTGCGGACTTGATCCCCAGTAGGGCACATTTTAGGAGGCAGCCAACTAATGTTTCACTTTCATTAATGTTTCTCTCTCTCTCTCTCTCTAAAGTCAATAAAGATGTTTTTTTATTTAATTATTTATTTTTGTTACAGATGTTTCTCCTTTCCCCCCCCACTGATACCTCCTCCCCCACCCTCCCCGCCCAGCTTTGTTGTCCATGTCCATTGTTCATACATACATGCATATAAGTTCTGTGGTTTATCTCTCCCTGACCACCCCCTCTTCTGGGGATTGTCAGTCTGTACCCCACTTCCACGTCTCTGGGACTAGCCCGTTCCTTAGACTGTTATGTTCATTACATTCCACAAATAAGTGAGATCATATGATATTTGTCTTTCTCTACTTGGCTAGTTTCACTTAGGATAATACTCTCCAGGACCCTCCATGTCGTCTCAAAGGATAAGAGATCTTTCTTTCTTACAGCTGGACAGTACTCCATTGTGTATATGTACCACAGCTTTTTGATCCATTTGTCTACTTATGGACATTTGGGCAACAAGTGTTGGCGAGGTTTTGGAGAAAAGTGGACTCTAGTACACTGCTGGTAGGAATGCAGACTGGTACAGCCACTATGGAAATACAATATGGTGTTACCTCAAAAAATTAAAAAGTTTAACTGCCATTTGACCCAATGATCCCACTTCTAGGAATATACCTTAAGAAGCCCGAAACACCAATCAGAAAGAATATATGTACCCCCATGTTCATAGCAGCACTATTTACAATAGCTAAGATCTGGAAGACATTTTTTAAATAAAAAGTTCAAACTATAATAGATTTGAAAACAATAAGCAGGATGGTGGTGATAAAAGTCATGTTAAGGGAGTAGGTTAATATTGATACAAAGTCCTTCCAAAAGGAAAAAATGGATAATGATGGAAACATTTACTGTCCATTTACTAAGTAGTAATCACTCTATCAAGCTGTTTAGATGCGCTAATTTAATACTCATAAAAGTTCAAGATAAAAACCATTATTAACCCCTTAAATAAATGATAGAAACAAAAGAATTAAGTGACCTGCTCAGGTTCTCAAAACTAGTAAGTGGGTGAGCTAGTATTCAAGTTAGGTCTGTTTACTTCAGAGCCCAAATTCTTAAGCATTACTTAGACTGTCTAAAGATCAGTTAATATTTCACTATAAGCCCTGTACAGGTAATCAAGTCTTATATTGGCTATGTGTTTCCAAATCTCCTACCTACTTCCCAATGAGGCACACTCAAGTGGTATAAGTGAAAAATGAAAACTCTCAAGAGTGGCAAAACAGCATAACATTCTTCTACTAAAATTTATCTGAATCTACAAATTTAATTGTCTAAAATTTATTTTCCAAAATGTTAAATTACTTCATTTATTATAAAATGCAAACGCAATTAAACTTTGAGGGAAAAATTAATGTCCATACTTACTGATCTTTTATAACACTGAAATAGTCTAGTTTTATAATTAGTGGAGTTTCTTATCACATGCAATAAAAATTAAAGTGATGGTTATTTAAAGCAAGAACTAAACATTTTATATTTCCAGAAGGAATGGTTAATAAATTAGTCCATTAGTTAATTAATAGCTATAGATGAGTATATGTTTTCAGCCTTTTACACTGCCCTAATTGCAAACTAAAGGGAAGGAAAAAAATTTTTTGTGCTTTTATGATTATAAACTTGTCCTTATAAAATATAATAAACCTGAAGTTACCTAATCACTTCATATGATCTCATATATGCCCTTACATCACTCAATTTAAAACATAAAATAGAAAATATAAATATAACCTCTCTTGCTATTTAAAAAAATCAGAAAAATTATGCATGCATTCATTATGTAAAGAGACTATTAACTGACACATAAAACAGGAAGGATGTGACTTTTAAAAATAAACAATAAAATGCCCAATGTGGCTCAGTGGTTGAGCAATGACCCATAGGCCAAGTGGTAACTGATTCTATTCCTGGTCAGGGCACATGCTCAGGTTGTGGGCTCGATCCCCAGTAGGGGATGTGCAGGAGGCAGCCAACTAATGTTCTCTGTTATCGATATTTCTATCTCTCTCTCCCTCTTCCTTTTTCTCTCTCTAAAAATCAATAAAAGCATATTTTAGTTGGGAGGGCGGGATGGGGAGGAGGGTATCTAGGAGAAAGGAGAAACATCTGTAACAAAAATAAATTAATAAAAACTGGAAGAAAAAACATTAAAAAATTTTTAATAAAATAAAAATTAAAATTAAATATTACTCTTGTGAGTAATTAAACCACTAAAAAATAATTGAAAAAAAAAAAATGTCAAGAAAAAAACACTGCAGTTCATAAGGATCCACATCATTGTTGAAATCAGGAATGCAATTAATTTATTATTTGTCAAAAAGAAATACAGACTAATTGTAATCAACAAATCATAAATATATATATGTATATATATAAATTAAACATTAATTTTTCTTCTTTCCTAGACTGTTTGTATATCAGCTGATTTTCTTTCTAAGTCATGATATAGATGCAAATGAACAAGGTAAGGGTCCCTTAACAGGAACACACAATATCCAGGTACTTGTACTGACCGGCTCAGAGTCATAGCAATAATCATCCCAGCTCTGTCTGAGGGGTTTCTTTGTTATCTGAAAGTAAGGCAGATTAGTTAGGTAGAAACAATGGTTATTACACTTCTCTAATAATCTCTTAGATATAGTGTTCAGGTATACTGCTGCTAGCCAAAGAAAGTTATTTTGTATAGCAGCATAAAACAAGAAACAACTAGGTAAACATTCTGATCCTGGGAGATCTTATCTTATTATAAATAATCCATATTTACTATTGTACAGTGACTCTGAGATTTTTATTAACTGCCGAGTCCCATATTTTATGAATACTGATCTTATGACAAGAATACATATGCATGGCCAATGGTTACAAAAATATGGGGTTTTGTTTTTTTTATCCTCACCCAAAGATATTTTTGCATTTATCTTCAGATAGAGCAGGAGGGAGAGAGGGAGGAAGAGAGCGAGAGAAACAGCGATGTGAGAGAGACACATAGAGTGGTTGCCACCCACATGACCCCAACCAGGGCCAGGGACAAACTGCAACTGAGGTACATGCCCCTAGCAGAAACTGAACCCGGGACTCTGGGTCCGCGAGCCACCGCTCTGACAGCTGAGCCAAACTGACCACGGCTACCAAAATATCTGAAAAAACAGTAATTAACTCTGAATTTCTTTAATATGAACAATTATCTCATTAATGGGCAATTAGTACTTTTTAAAAAGGAAAATATTTAATTACACAAATATAATGCAAATAGCTTAAACAGGGGAGGAAATAAAAATCAGAAGCCACATCAAAGATTTTTTAAGTCACATCAACTTTTGTAAAAAAAAAAATCTACTTAATTATATAAAGTACAAATGCCTATTATATCAGGAAGTGATATTTTGAATAGTTTTACAATTCTCAATATATTAATAGTTGTTTCACTTATATAAATATGTCACTTCAAAATTAATAAATATCAGTTATACAGCAGTTATACAGTTATACAGTATATCTTGGGGAAAAGTCTAAGAAGTTACTTTTGCCCTGGCCGGTTTGGCTCACCAGTTAGACTAGAGCAACGGCCCACAGACCTATGAGTCGTGGGTTCGATTTCGGTCAACGGCACGTACCTCAGTTGCAGTTCAATCCAGCCCTGATAGGGTTATGCAGGAGGCAACCAGTCGATGTGGCTCTATTACATTGATGTTTCTCTCTGTCTCTCTCCCCCTCCTTCCCACTCTAGCTAATAATAAATAGGATATTCTGGGGTGAGGAATAAAAAAAAAAAGAGTAAAAATGAAGTTATTTTCATAACCCTAAATACATACTACAACCTTTGAGCCATTATCAAAGTGTCAATTTGCTTACAAATACTTCGTAAGGATATTTTAATTACCATAAAGGAATGTCATTCCATAGATATTTTTTGCTTCAAAAAATTAAAATAATATGAAACAATTTGTTATTCAAATGATGTAGTCATACCAATTCCATTAATATTGGTTGTAGAATTTTTGCTATTATGAGGAATAATAAACTTAGAGAAACCAATGTAATGAAAAGTTGTGACAATTACTACTTATGGAAGTTTGGGAGTATAACATGAGTTTCAAGGGAAGATACAAATTTTCTAAGTCAATTCCTTTGAAGCATTTCACATCAAGGGTTTAACAGGATTGTTCACTAAATTATAAAAATAATACTCTAAGTCAGTATCACAGTATCAGGCAAAGAGGTATAGGTATTAGACTTCAAAACATGCAAATGAGATTTCAAGTAATCCCTTGCAAAGGGCAAGCATTAAGCATTAGTATCATTTAACAATATATATTTTTGAATTTTTATTCATTGATTTTAGAGAGATGGGAACAAAGAAAGAGAAAGAGAAACACCAATTTGTTGTTCCATTTATTTTTCCATTCACTGGTTGCTTCTGGTATGTGCCCTGACCAGAAATCAAACTGGAACCTTGGCATATCAGGACTAAGCTCTAAACAATGGAGCAACTCAGGCAGGGAAGCATTAGTATTATTTAACATGTGAGGTCTGTAAAAGGTAAATCACGTTGGAGAGAATAAACCATTTTTCTAACATGGAGATACCTATAAATAGTTTATTATTCTCTCAAAGAGTCTCATACAAAAGCAAAAGGCACACATATAACTAATCTTTTAAAACTCATGAGTGCAATAATAACTTTTTTTGTTTAATCCTCACCCGAGGACATCCTAGCATTTATCTTCAGATAGAGCGGGAGAGAGAGAAAAACATCGATGTAAGAGAGATACATTGACTGGTTGCCACCCACACGACCCCAACCAGGGCCAGGGACAAACTGCAACTGAGGTGCGCGCCCTTAGCAGGAACAGAACCTGGGACTCTCCAGTCCGCGGGCCAACGCACCAACCACTGAGCCAAACAGGCCAGGGCAGTAACAATAATTTTTAAATCTGAGAACTGCATCACACAAATTTTTAGACTGCATGTTTGGAACTGATAGTTAATATTCATTACCAGATTTGGAAAACAAAGTATTAAAAAAAAACTGTTATCAAGAGCTAAAATTTAGTAATGCCCTACATCTGAAAATGCTTTTCATTAACACTTACCTGATTAAGGTAATGATATTCCTCTGGTTGTTTAAGATGGAATGCTAATCTCTCTTCTTCACTTGCTCCTGCCAGGAGGTAATAGAATACATGATAGTTCCTGTTGGAAACAAAGATGTATGGCTTTATAATGAACATGATGTATGGTTATCATTTAACTGGAAAAAAAAGCAAACATTAATTACTAAAATGTTTCAGCTTGGCTTCATTTGTTAATACAAAGGTGATAAACTCAATATTTAAGTACTATAAAATAATGGTTTGGATGCTGAATTCAAAACAGAGGGGTGAAGGCAGCAAAATGGCAAAGTCAGAACCTCTAAAAATTCTCTCCTCCATAAAACCAATATATTCCTGAGAATCTAGATGGCCACGCACCTACATTGGGCTGTGCACATACCCAGAGCTACAGCTCCACAAAGACCAGAAGAGGTACTAAGCTCTCACTTCTGGCTAACCTTAATGGTCTGCACAAGCAGAAAGTAAAAGTAAAGGCAGAATTATAAAATGCCTGCCTGACTGTAAAAGGAATGGTCCAGTATACACACAGAGCCCTTAGTCAAACTTACTATTTCCAAGTCTTTAAGGAAATCTGTTTAATCATTAGCTGACCAAGAAGATATACAATGCCCATACTCGAAAAAGAATACAGACCTCATGAAGTTAGCTCAAAAAAGTCAAGAAACAAACAGCAAGAACAAAAACAACCACCACAAATCCTGGGAGGGGAGAATCTCATCTCCAGAGCTGCCACATGATTATTTCAAATATCCAAATTCATTCATATATATATATATATATATATGCATGCAAAAACAGGAAAGTATAGCACATACCAAAAAAAAAAATCTTGTTTCGACAAGGCTAAAAAAAAAAACCAATAGCCCTGGCCGGTTTGGCTCAGCGGTTAGAGCGTCGGCCTGCGGTCCTGAGAGACCCGGGTTCGGTTCCCGCTAAGGGCGCGTACCTTGGTTGCAGTTTGTCCCCGGCCCTGGTCGGTTGTGCGGATGGCAGCCACTCGATGTGTTCCTTTCACGTTGATGTTTCTCTCTCTCTCTGTTCCTCTCTCTCCCTCCCACTCTACCTGAACAAAAAATGGAAAAATGTCCTCGGGTGAGGATAAAAAAAAAAAAAAAAAAAAAAACCAATAGTAACTGTCCCTGAGGAACCCCAGGCATTACTTACTAGACAACACTTTTAATCAACTGTTTTAAATATATTGAAAAAAATAAAGGGAACCATTTTTAAAACTAAAGGAAAACATAAGAATGATGTCTCGCCCTGGCCGGTTTGGCTCAGCGGTTAGAGCGTCGGCCTGCGGTCCAGAGAGACCCGGGTTTGGTTCCCGCTAAGGGCATGTACCTCGGTTACAGTTTGTCCCCGGCCCTAGTTGGGTTGTGAGGGTGGCAATCACTTGATGTGTCCCTTTCACGTCAATGTGTCTCTCTATCTCTCTCTCTCTCCCCCCCCCCGACTCTATCTGAACAAAATAAAAAAAAAAGATGTCTCATCAAAGGGACTATCAATAAATATATAGAACTTATAAAAATAAAAAATAAATTTTAAAATTCAAAAATATAGTTTAATTATAAAATAAAATAAATTTTAAAAAATTAGAAATCAACATCAGATCTGCACAGACAGAAGAATGAATCAGTGAACCTGAAGATAGGTCAATTGAGAGTAGTCTAAGAAACAGAAAAATGAATGAAGAAAGTAGAACAGATTCTCAGAGATCTGTGGGACACCATTAAGCAGAGAACAACACTTACATAATGTGGGGTACCAAGATATGGACAATATGAGTTGATAAAAAAAAGGTACAGAAAGAATATTTGAAAAAATTATGACCCAAAACTCCCCAAATTTGGTGAATAACAGTATTCTGTACATCAAAGACACTAAAAAAATTCCAGCAGTGGGAGGGGAATCAGAGATCCAAATCTAGGCAAATCAAGACTCTTGAAAGACAAAGAAAATATTTTCTATTTTTGTAATATTTGTTACAGTTGACATTCAATATTGTTTCTATATTAGTTACAGGAGTACAGAATAGTGATTGAACATTTATATAAAACAAGTGATCCCCCTAGTAAGTCCAGTACCCACCTAGCACCATATATAGCTATTACAATATTATTAACCATATTCCCTATGCCATACTTTACATCCCTGTGACTATATTTTAACTACCAATTTGTACTCCTTAATTCTTTCACCTTTTTCACCCAGTCCCCAATTCCACTCCCATCTGGCAACCCTCAGCTTGATCTCTGTATCTAAGACTCTTCTGTTTTCTTTACTTGGTTCTTTAGATTACACACATAAGTAAAATCATATGGTATTTGTCTTTCTCGCTGATACCTTCAAGGTCCATCCATGTGGTCAATCGCAAAAGGAAAGATTTCATTCTTTGTATGACAGAGTAATTTTCCATTGTATATATGTATCACCTCTTATTTATCCACTCATTTACTGATGGGCACTTAGGTTGCTTCCATGTCTTGGTTGTTGTAAATAATCCTACAATGTACATAGGAGTGTGTGTTTGTATGTATATATCTATATCTATATCTATATCTATATCTATATCTATATCTATATCTATATCTATCTATATATATATATATCTTTTCAAATTAGTGTTTTGGATTTCATCCAGAAGTTGAATTGCTGGGTCATATAGTGGGTCTATTTTTAATTTTTTGAGGAACATTCATAACGTTTTTCATAGTGGCTGCACCAATTTGCAGTCCGATCAACAATGCTTTTCTACACATCTCTGCCAATATTTGTTCTTTGTTGCTTTATTGGTGATAGCTATTCTGACAGGTGTGAGGTAATACATTATGATAATTTGCATTTCTCTGATGATTAGTGATGTTGAGCATATTTTCATATTCCATGTCTATTGGCATCTGTATGCCTTATTTAGAAAAATGTCTATTCAGGTCCTCTGCCCATTTTTATTTTTTTAATTTATCTTTATTACTGAAAGTATTACAGGTGTCCCTCCTTTTTTCCCTCCTCTGCCCTTTTTTAATCAAATTGATTGTTTTTTTATGTTCAGTTGTATGAATTCCTTATATATTTTGGACATTTAGATGTGTATCCTCTCCCGTTCAGTAGGCTGTATTTTCATTTTGCTCATGATTTCCTTCACTGTGCAAAAACTCTTTAGTTTGATGTGGCCCCATTAATTTTTCTTTTGTTTCCCTTGCCCAAGCAGACATATCCACACAAATATATTACCAAGAATGATGACAAACACTTTATAGCCACCCGGCCGGTGTGGCTCAGTGGCTGAGCATTGACCCATGCACCAAGAGATCGCTGGTTCAATTCCCAGTCAGGGCACATGCCCAGGCTGTGGGCCCAATCCCCAGTGGGGGGCATGCAGGAGGCGGCCAATCGATGTTCTCTCTCATCGAGGTTTCTCTCTCTCTCTCCCTCTCGTTCTCTAATATTGATAAAAGAAAAAAAAAATTTTTTAAGTTTACAGCCTATGCTTTCCATTACTTTATTTTTTCTTTTCTTTCCCTTTGCCCAAGGAGACATATCCAAAAAAAAATATTACCAAAAGGGATGTCAAACAGGTTACTGCCTATGTTCTCTTCTAGGAGTTATATGGTTTCAAGTCTTACATTTAAGTCTTTAATTCACTTTAAGTTTATTCTAGTATATGTTGTAAGAAAGTGATTCAGCCCTGGCCAGTGTAGCTCAGTGGTAAAAGCACAGGTCTGCCAACTGAAGGATCACAGGTTTAATTCCCAATCAAGAGCATAAACCTGGGTTGCAGGTTCTATTCCTGGCTAGGGTCAAGGTGTGTGCGAAGGGCACTGATCAATGTTCCTCCCCCCCACCCCTCCTTTTGACTCTCTCTAAAAATCAATGAAAAAAAATATCCTTGGTGAGAATTTAAAAAAAGAAAGTTCAGTTTCATTCTTTCGCATGTATCTGTCCAATTTTCTCAACATCATTTATTAAACAGATTGTCTTTATATCATCGTACGTTCTTGTCCTTTCTCATATATTAATTGACCATATAGGCATGGGTTTATTTCTGGTTTATTCTATCCCATCAATCTATGTGTCCATTTTTATGACAGAACAATGCCATTTTAATTACTATAGACTTATAGTATAGTTTAGTATCAGGTAGCATGATATTGCCTACCTTTACTTTCTCACAATTGTTGTGGCTATCTGGGGACTTTGGTGATTCTACATACATTTTAGAATTATTTGCTCTACTTCTGTAAAAAAAAAAAAAAAAAAAAAAATGCCATGGGTATTCTGACAGGGGTTGCATTAAATGTATAGACTTCTTGCCCTAGTCAGTGTGGCTCAAAGGTTAGAGCGTCAGCCCATGGACCAAAGAGTCATGGGTTCGATTCCCAGTCAAGGGTACTACCTAGGTTGCAGGTTTGATCCTCAGTCCCAGTTGGGTTCATGAGGGAGGCAACCAATCGAGCGTCTCTCTCACATCAATGCCCGCCCTCCTGCCCCACCCCCGGCCCCCAACTGGGGATTATATCCACAACCTCAGCATGTGCCCTGACTGGGAATCAAACTCGTGACCATCCAATGCACAGGACAATGCTCCAACCAATAAAGTCACACTGGCCAGGGGATGAACTTGTGTGTTTATATCCTTCACCTGGTTAGGGAAGTTTTCCATCATTATTTCTTCAAAGAGGTTCTTAATCCATTGCTCTCTCTCTTCTCCTTCTGGTACCCCTTAGGGTGTGAATTTTCTTATACTTGATGTTGTTCCAAAAGTCCCAGAGTTCCTTTAAACAATCCTCATTTTTTTAACCTTTTCTTATTCTTGTTCCAATTGGGTGTTTTCCACTACCTTGTATTCTAAATCACGGATTTGATCCTCTGCTTCATCTAATATGCTACTGATTCCCTCTACTGTATTCCTTATTTCAGTTATTATATTCTTCATTTCTGAGTGATTCATTTTTATAGTTTCTAATCCCCTTTTTATGCTTATTATATCTTTGTTAAAGTTCTCACTGAGTTCGTCTCATCTTCCCCTAAGTTCGTTGAGCATACTTATAGCAAGTATTTTGAACTCTGCATCTGGTAGACTGTTTTCCTCCATTTCATTCCGTTATTTTTCTGGAGTTTTCACCTGTTCTTTCATTTGGGATATTTCTTTGACTCCTCATTTTGGTTGCTTCTCTGTTTCTATGTATTAGGTAGATCTGCTACCAAAGACAAAATTTTCAAGGAACTATGAGAGTATTGCTTTAAGTATTCTTGATATAAGTTTATCAACTGATTTCTCATTGGAAACCATGACAGAAGGATAAATTCAAAGTATTGAGAGAAAAAATCTGTCAATCAAGAATTATATATCCAGGAAAACAAACAACCTAAGTGTCCCTCAATAGATAATTAGATAAAGATGTGGTATATAAATACTGTGGAATACTAGTCAGTCATAAGAACAGAGAAGAAATACTGCCATTTATAACAATATGGATGGATCTTAAGAATATCATGATAAGGGAAAAAAGATAGAAAAAGTTAGAACCATATGATTTCATTCATATGTGGGATATAAAACCAAAAGCAACAAATGAACAAACAAGACAAGCAAACAAATAAACACTCATAAACACAGACAACAGTATCATAGTTACTAGAAGGAAAGAGGGGTGGGGAGTAGTAAAGGGTAGAGAAAATTATATGTGATGACAGAAAGAGACCTAATTTTGTGTGGTGGGCACACAATGCAATATACAGATTATGTATCAAAAAGCTGTACATTTTTAACCTATATAATTTATCACTCACTAATAAATTTAATAAAAATAAATTTAAAAAAATAAAAGACAAATTAAGACATTACCAGATAAATAAAACCTAAGAGACTTCATAGCTAGCTAGCCCTACAAGAAATGCTTAATGGGAAATTTTTCTGGTTGAAATGAAAGGAGGCTAAATAAGATTCAATTAAACATGAAAAAAATAAACACTAGTGACAGTAACACATAGGTAAATATAAAATACAGCATAATTTTATTTTTTGTTTATAACATTTTTTTCTCATTAAAATGTAAGGATGTCTGCAAAAAGTAGTAATTACAAATCTTTATTGTGGGTCTATTATAAAAATATAATTTTCATGACAATAATAACACAAAGTAGGGGGAAAAAATAGATCTATGCAACAGCAAAATTATTTACATAGTATTAAACTTAAGTTGTTATTAATCCAATCCAGATTGCTAAAATGTTAACTGTAATCACCAGACCAACCATTAAAAAAACAAATCAAGAAATATACAGCTGACCTTGAACAACACAGGGGTTAGGGGCACCAACCCACAGCAAAGATGAAAATTCACTATAACTTTTTTTTCTTGATGCAAACTCTAACCCAAAAAAAGATGAATAGACTTAAGACAAAAAATTCTACTAGATGCAAAGGTCATTTCATAATGTCAAAAGGGCCAATTCATCAAGAAGGTTAAGAATTCACACTGGTCGGTTTGGCTCAGCGGTTAGAGCATTGGCACGCAGAACAGAGAGGCCAGGATTAGTTCCCGCCAAGGGCATGTACCTTGGTTGCAGTTTGCCCGGGCCCTGGTTGGGGTCCTGTGGGTGGCAACCACTCGATGTGTCCCTCTCACGTCGATGTGTCTGTGTGTGTGTGTGTGTGTGTGTGTGTCTCTCTCTCTCTCTTTCTCCCCCTCCCTCCCTCCCTCCCTCCCACTCTATCTGAACAAAAAACAAAAAAATGTCCTTGGCTGAAGATAAAAAAAATAAAATTAATAAAAAAGAGAATTAAAAATAAATAAATAAATAAAAATCAATGGAGCCCAGCCAGTATGGCTCAGTGGATCGAGCATCATCCCATGGCTGAGAGGTCCCAATTCGATTCCCAGTCAGGGCACATGCCCAGGGTTACAGGCTTAATCCCCTGTGTGAAATATGCAGGAGGCAGCTGATCGATATTTCTCTCTCACATCAATGTTTTTATCTCTCTCTCCCTTCCTCTCTCTCTAAATGATTTAAAAAAATTTTTTTAAATAAATAAATAAATAAAAATCAATGGAAAAATATTAAAATTTCCTCAAGCGAGGATTAACAAAAAATAAAGAACTACATTCCACCTGGACCTAACAGACATCTATAGAATACCCCATCTAACAATAGCAAGAAACACATTTTCTCAAGCACCTATGAAATATTCTCCAGGGTAGGCAACAGTAGACTAGAAAATAAGTCCTAATAAATTTAAGGGAACTAAAATCACACAAAATATGTTCTCTGACCATCTTACAAATCAGTAAACAAAAATTTCCAAAATTCACAAATATGTGCAAATTCAACACATTCCTAAATAACATAATGGATCAAAGAAGTCACACAGGAAACTAGAAAATACAATGAGATGCATGAAAACAAAAATACAACATACTAAAATATAAGAAAAAAAGCAGTGCTCTGTGGTATTTTATAGCTGTAGACTCATATTAAAAAAAGATCTCAAATCTATATCCTGACCATCCATCCACTTTAAGAAACTAGAAAGAAAAAAAGGAGCAAACTAAACCCAAAACAAGCAGAAAGAAGTAATAATCATAAGAGCAGAAATAAAATTGGGAACAGGAGGGAAAAAAGAGAGAGAATGAAACCAAAGCTTGGTCCTTTGGAAAGAGGGGGTAGGCTGCTATAGTCTGAATGTGTACCCCTCAAATTCCTATGTTGAAATCACAACTCCAAAAGGTGATGGTATGAGAAGGTGAGGACTTTGGAAGGTGATTAGGTAATGATGGTAGAACCCACATAAATGGAGTGGGGCTCTTACAAAACACACCCCAAAGAGCTCACTATTCCTGTCCATCACCTGAGGACCAAGGAGGAGGGCTCCCATCAGAATGCAAGCATGCTGGCACCTTGATTTTAAGTCTTCTCAGCCTCCAGAACTGTGAGAAATAAATTTCTGAGATTATAAACTACACAGTCTATGGTACTCTGTTATATCAGCCTGAATGAGCTAAGATAAAAGGGGGGACATTATAATCTAATAACCTTAAGGAAATAAAAAAATAAGAGAATATTGTGAACAATATTTTTGCCAACAAATTAGTAACCTAGATGAAATGGACAAATTCTTAGAAAGATAAAAACTATTAAATCTGACTAAAGAAGAAAACAGACCTACAACTAAAGTGTTTGAATTAGTAATCAAATCTTCCCACAAATAAAAACCCAGAACTAAATGGCTTAACTGGTGAATTCTACCAAACATGTAAAGAAGAATTAACCCAATCCTTCACAAATTCTTCTGTCTTATTCTATGAGCGAATATTATCCTGATCAGAATATTATCCAAATCAGAAAAAGACATCAAAAGTTTTTTAAAAAATCTTACGGCAATATCCTTTATGAATATAAACACACAAAAATATTCAACAAAATACTACCATACCAAATCCACCAACATATAATAAAGATTATACCTAAACCTGCAAATCAAATCTAGTAAAATAACAGAGAATCATTTTATAAGCTCTGGATTTTCACCTCCCACTGATTCTTCAAAACCAAGAAAACCAGGCTTATATCTCTACCACTCCATTAACATGTGTTAGAAAAAGTTACTAAAAACCTTCTAATAGCAGTACCTGTTAGCTCTGCAAGTATTTATGAATCTATTCTCTTCCTGAAAACTCTCTTCCCTTCATTTTAAAACACCTCTAATTCAGATTTTCTTCTCTGCTAGCCACAAAAAAAGTAACAGAGAAGTCTGAGTTCTAATCCTAACCTTGCAGGTAATTTATTATGATAATGTTAGCTATTAATTACTGAACTTCTATTATATGTATAACATTTTATAAATGTTATTTCATTCAATCCTCTAAACAACTCTAGGATAGTTTTCAATTTGTAAATGAGAATATCTAAGAAACAAGAGAAGTAAAGGGAGATGACAAAGGCATAGCCATTATTTGAATGTATAGGTCTGTTTAACTTCAAACCCAAGCTTTTAATTCTGTCTCATTGTAACATAAAACAAATCACTGACATTTTCCAATATTTGGTTCCTTCATCTGAAGGAGGTTACATATATCATCTCTGAAGTCTCATATACCTCACATATTACAATGAAATTAAAAGTTTATTAAAAACTTTTCTCAACCTGGCCGGTTTGGCTCAGAGGTTAGAGTGTCGGCCTGCGGTCTGGAGAGACCCGGGTTCGGTTCCCACTAAGGGCAAGTACCTCGGTTGCAGTTTGCCCCCAGCTCTGGATGGGTCATGTGGGTGGTGACCACTCGATGTGTCCCTTTCACATCGATGTTTCTTTCTCTCTCTCTCCCGCCCCCCCCCACTCTATCTGAACAAAATATCGAAAAATGTCCTCGGGTAAGGATAAAAAATAAATAAATAAATAAAAAATAAAAACTTTTCTCAAATTAGTGTAAGAACACTAAGACATGAAAAATAGTCCAAAGGCACAATTTCACAAAGAACACAAATATACCACTGTTTTCTTGTTCTGATAGTTTGCCAAGAATCTAGAAAGGGGAACAGTTCTATATACCCATTAAAAGATCTCCTAGCAAGCCCTAGCCAGGTGGTTCAGTTGGTTAGAGTATTGTCCCATACACCAAAAAGTTTGTGGGTTTGGATTACTAGTCAGGGTACATACCTAGGTTGTGGGTTCGATCCCCGACTGGGGAATTTATGGGAGGCAACCAATCCATGTTTCTCTCTCACATCAATGTTTCTCTCATTCTCTCCCCAAAACCAATAAAACATATCCTCAGGTGAGGATTAAAAACAAAAAAAAATCTCCTAGCAGCCTCAGAAAAAGTGCACTGTTCTGTCCATGACAGAAATAGAAATTCTATGTAAAGTCATGCATGGTATAAACTGAATTAAAGGTCATAATATACAAAGATCCTAAAAGTCAATCTGCATTATACAAATGTTAACTTGATCTAATTATACAAATGAAAATATGTACCGTTCATTATGCTCTTGATAAACGAGTCTGGACTTCTCTAGTAGATATTTTTCAACGTAGGCACTAGAAGAAAAAGAAAACTGATTAATATAATCAATATAAAGAAGACAAAATATTTTTTCAGAGAAGATGGAAAAGTGTAAAGAAGGCTATCCAGATCATTTTAGTGCATTTACCGTAATTAACTGTGCATGGACAGTTAGATTGTTATTCATGTTAGATTCACAAACTCATAAATTTGTTTTGTTTTGCTTTGCTTTCAATAAAGCAAAATAAAGTCAGAAGTTCAAAACATAGCACACAAGAACTATCCATATCATAGACTTTACTTTCTTTCCAGGCAGATATACCACACTATACAGTCTTTTAAATATTGCACTGTGGCCAGACTACTAAATAAGGCTCAAAACTATACTTTCTTTACATATTCATGTGATTACTACATTCTGGAATCAATTTATTTATTATTTATTGATTTACTCAGTAAGTATTCATTAATTGTACACTGTGCTAAGCATTGTTCAAATATGAAAATAATTGACATATTACCAGTTCTCAAGGGACTGACAAATGATGGAGGAAATAAGTAAACTAGCAGTTATCATACTGAGTTGACTGGGTTTATTATAGAGCAATGACCAAGATATTATAGATGTACTTGGAGATATATAAGATTTAATTCAAGAAGGAAAAAGAATGTAAGAATTCCCACAGCAGGTGAATACATAGTGCACATTAAATATTCATTAAATATATCTAATAAGTGACTAAATGACTCTGAAATCTGAAAGACTGCCCAGAATAAGGCAAGGAGAACTGCCTTTATGTAAAGGCATAAAAAAAGGGTACCTATCAACTTTAGGAAAGATACTTAACACGGCTAGAGAATGAGATAGGCAAGTGAACTAAATCACGAAGGACCAATATACCATGTGCCCGAAGAATGGAATTTATCCTGAAAGTAATGAGGAACTTAAACATGAATTGTGTTTCTGATGTTATTCTCTTTATCCAGTTTATATCCTTCAAGTTTTCCATACCTCTTACCCAAATTGAAGAAATCAGTTAAACTCTAATAAGAAAAAGGGGTTCTATAAATTTAAAAGCTTTAGACTACTGAATCCAAATTTCTTAGCATAAAGCTCTTTGGAGTCAAAATCTGACTCTTCAGGTCTTATTTCCTTCAGTTCCCTCCCACTTCATGCTCTGTATTTCAGCCATTCCCAAATACAGGCTATTCCCTCAAGAATGATATTCACCCCTGAATTTCACTTCTAATTCTGTAGACTCTCTGTCTAGCAGATTCAATTAATTAATTAAAATGAAACTCAAATATACCTTCTTTGCAAATTGATTATCACTAATACTACCAGTAATTAAGATTTATCACTCCTGAATTATCATTGCTTCTAGTCTAAACAACTAAAACAGGCTCTTAGTGGTCTAAAATGGGAAAAGGGGAACTAACAAACTAGTTTGTTAAATTCTTACACTCACTTTGCGTATCAATTTCTCCACTTGTATTGCCTCTATTTTACAAGTGAAGAAACTAATACTCAAATATATTAAGACTGTGCAGCTAGTAAACAGAACTATTATTTGAACCCAGGTCAATTTTAACTATAAGGGCTCTCTTTCAACTACCTACTCCTGAACATCTCTCTTTCCAACCCTTCAATCCATGAGTTATATGTACTACTACAAGAGCTATCTACCTATAAAATAACATCTAATCATGTTATTCCTCTACTTTAACTTGCTCCTTATACTAAAGTATGTAGGGGTGAATTAATGTTATGCCATATGGGATCGTCTTTTTAAAATATATCAGCATAGAGAAAGAAAAAGAATGAAGAAAATATGGCAAAATTTGATAATTGTTGAATCTGAGTAGGAGTTCCTTGGACTATTCTCTTTACTTTTTTGTATGTTTGATATTTTCTCATAACAACATTTTAAAAATCTGCTTCCCAGTGTCAGAGGATAAATTATAAACAGTAGAGCTTTTTACACAATTGAAACCAAATAACCACCACGACCATAATCGTTAGCCACTGAACATACCTCAAGTACACCAAGCTCTTGTCCTGATTCCAATCATTTGCTAATGCCAGCAACTCAATGAATAACATTGAGTTTAAGTTTTTAGGTAGTCACTTAATACAGACAAGCCTGAATTTCATTCATAAATGGGAAAATAAACATCTGCCATTCCTAAGCCACAAAACTGTCTTAAGAATCAATGAATAGCCCTGGCCAGTATAGCCCAGCGATTAGAGCGTCGGCCTGCGGTCCGGAGAGGCCCGGGTTTAGTTCCCGATAAGGGCGCGTACCTCAGTTGCAGTTTGTCCCTGGCCCTGGTTGGTCGTGCAGGTGGCAGCCACTCGATGTGTCCCTTACACATCGATGTTTTCCTCTCTCTCTTCTTCTCTCTCCCTCCCACACTACCTGAACAAAAAATAGAAAAATGTCCTTTGGGTGATTTAAAAAAAAGAATCAATGAATATATATAATGGTACTTTCTAAGTTACAAAACAATATACCCAATTTTACCTATTAACTTCTCCAGCAGCATAATCATAAATACTAGGAAAGAAAGAGCGGCCTGAATTGACTGCATCTCACTTTTATAAGTAAACTTGCCAATGACGAATAATCCTTGTTTTTGTTTTCTTGGGAGGGTAAGGGTAAGAATACACAAAATGTTGATCCAACGTTTTAAATCTAAATGCAGAAGCATTTGAGATCTTGCTCCCCAGCATATGTCAGTCTGGCTCAAATAAACTCATATAAGTACATACAAAAAGTAAAGTAATAAGACTTAAGCATAATTAACCCTGGCTGGTTTGACTCAGCGGTTGGAGCATCGGCCAACAGACCAAATGGGTCATGGGTTCGATTCCAGTCAAGGGCACATACCTCAGTTGCAGTTCAGTCCCCGGCCCTAGTTGGGGGGCAACAAATCGATGTGTTCCTCTCTCTCTCGACCCTCCCTTCCACTCTATCTGAAGATAAATGGAAAAATATCCTCGGGTGAGGATTAAAACAAAAAACTTAAGCATAATTAAAATAGCTAAAAAAAACAAAGCAATATTATTTATTAATATAGATGCAAAATCATAAATAAAAACTAGTAAACAGACCACAATGTAAATACATGTACATATAAATATGTCTGTGTATGTAACTATGTATATATGTGTATGTCTTTGTAATGACCAAATGAGATTCTATTCCCAGGAATACAAAATGATTCAATATTAGGAGAATAACAATAATATTAATAGATCTGAAAATGAAGATTATGCTAATCTCCATAGATGCCAAAAAAGAGTCTGATAAAACGCAATAATCATTACTGACAAAAACACACCAAAAAAAATATAAATCAATGCTCAACTCACTAACATCATAAAATGTCCTAAATCCAGAATTTTGCTTAATGGAGAAAAGTAAAAGTATTTATATAAGAGTCTGAAGTGATATTATCACAGTATAAGAGGCATGGAATCAGACAAGGTACAAAATAACCAGATATAAGAACAGAAAAAGAAAGTATAAGTATCTATTTTTGCATATATGGTAGTAAACCTAGAAAAGGTAAGAGGAAGAAGAGTAAAACTCACACAAACAATAAAATAATTTATATTAAGATACAAAATTAATATAAAAATCAATAGCTTTGCCCTGGCCAGTGTGGCTCAGTTGGTTAGGCAGTATTCCATGCACCAAAAGGTTGCCGGTTCAACTCCTGGTGAGGGCACACGCCCAGGATATTTAGGCTTGAAACCCGATGGGGAGTGTGCAGTAGGCAGCCCATCAATGTTACACTCTGGCATCGATGTTTTGTTCTCTCTACTCTCTCTCTCTCTCTCTCTCTCTCTCTAAATTAATTGACTATTTAAAAAATCAACAGCTTCATATATACAAACAGTATGTAATCTGAAGAGATAATCACACTTCTTGTAACATTACATTGAAATAAAATACTCAGAGATAATGCAACAAGAAATACAAACAACTTAGCATTTCTAAAAAGCATAAAGATGTCAATTATCCCCAAAGTTAATATATACATTTAACATTAATCCAGGAATATCAAGCCATGAAAGACATGAAGGAACCTTCAATACATATTGCTGAAAAAAAAAAAAAAATTCCTATCTGTAGAGGTTATATACCATAAGATCCCAACTACATTGCATTCTAGTAAAAGCAAAACTATGGAAACAGTAAAAAACATTGGTGGTTACTAAAGATTAGTGGGTAGGAAGGTATAAATAAGTGAAACAGAGAATTTTTAGGGCAGTGACACTATTCCATATAATACTGTAATAGTGAATATATGTCTTTTTGCAGTTGTCAAAGCCTATAGAATATATAACACAAATGGAACACACTAGTATAAGACATTATTAATAGGGGAAACTGGGAAATAGGGCAAAGAGGTATATGGGAATTATATACTTTCTACTCATTTTTGTTATGAACAGAAAACTACTCTAAAAATAAGGTCTATTAATTAAAAATAAAAGTTATAAAGAATATTGCTGGCATAACCAGAGCACTCTGATTATAAACCTTATAGTGTAACAAAATGAAATTTCTTCAGTATAATAACAGTATTATGTAGGTAAATGTCATTGTGGTTGCTTTAGGAAATACAGTGATTACGGGGTCAAGTTACATACCCCACTTACTCAAAAACAATTTTATGAAAATGAATGTATGCATAATATAGAAATAAGCAAACACAGGAAACTGTAAACAACAAATCTAAGTTAAAGGTGTATGTATGTTTATACTATTCTTAGAATTTTCACATTTGAACTTTTCCAAAAGAAAAACAGTTGGAAAAGAAATTTAATGCAGACACCATTAAAAATTTGTATGCATGTTTCTTAGAGTTTTTACCACGCCTTGAGCTTTTCCAAAAGAAAAAGATTCTCACTAAAGAGCAAATGACCAATCTATGGTTTGCAAAGAAACAATAATGACAACACAAATATGCTCCAAAGCCTGATATTGTTACTTACCCAAGTACAGTGCCTGTTTCTTGGTAATTTACTTGAATAAACTTGCCAAAACGACTTGAATTGTTATTATGAGCTGTCTTTGCATTTCCAAAAGCCTGTCAAGATAAATAGTTCTCATTAACTTCATTTTCAAAAAAATGAGACAAAATGCTAAAGAGATAGGAGAAAAGCAATTCCTTTATGCCTTATACCTTCAGACTCATATAGTTCAGGTAAAGTAAAAGAAAGTAACTGAAGCGTGGCTGGTGTGGCTCAGTGGACTGAGCGTCTTCCCATGGACTGAGAGATCCCAATTCGATTCCCAGTCAGGACACATGCCCGGGATTCCTGCTCAGTCCCCAGTGGGGGGCGTGCAGGAGGCAGCCAATCAAGTTTCTCTCTCTCTCTCCCTTCTCTCTCTCTAAAAAAATCAATAAAAACGTTTTTTTAAAAGGCAAGAGAAGAAAGGAACCAAAATAAAACTAACTAGGCAGCATTTTATGCTATTCAGTAAAATAAAACTTAATTTAAAAAACGTAATGCTCATTAAAATTTTGTAATATATTTATATTTTTAAAACTTAGTTATTGATTTTAGAGAGAAATGTGTTATTCCCCTTATGTACGCATTCATTGGTTGATTCTTGTGTGTGCCCTGACCAGGGATCGAACCCACAACCTTGGCATATCAGGATGACACTCTAACCAACTGAGCAACCTGGCCAGGATGATATATTTTTTTAATCTTGCTAGACTGAAATTTTTAAAAGCTAGTAAAAATTAATTACATAAAAATAATTATAATTTTAGAATTGTATAAAGTGTCATTACATAATGTACTACACGTTATTACACCTACTTAAAACTACAGTAGTATTTTATTTACAATAGTATTTTAAAAAGAATAAAAATATATAGGCTCCCTAAAAAGTATTACCTAAAGTATACAACATGCAATGAAATATTACCTAGCAGTAAAGATGAACTACCAGGATAGACATCAACATTGATGAATATTAAACATTGGACTTCAAGTCAAGATGGTATGGTAGGTAAACATGGTACTCGCTCCCTCCCACAACCACATCAAATTTATAACTAAACTACAATACAATCATCATTCAGAACTGCCTGAAATCGAACTGAATGAAAGTCCTACAACTACCAAATTAAAGCAGCAGCCAAAATAAGACTGGTAGGAGGGGCAGAAGCACGGACAGGCTGGTCCCACACCGAGGGTGCAGATAAAAATCAGGAGGGACACTTCCACTGTGAAGGTCCTCCCTGAGGGGCAAGGGGTTCTGGTCCCACACCAGGTGCCCAGCTCAGGGTTCCAGTGCCAGGAAGAGAAGTCCCCATAACACCTGGCTGTAAAAAAGAGCAGGAACTGAGGCTGCTGGAGCCCCAAGCAATTCCTCTTAAAGGGCCCATGCAAACTTACTTGGACTTGCTCCCTCTAAGCTCAGAGGGGAGGCAGCTTGAGGGGTGCCAAAGACATACGAGGAAGAACTGAGCTGTTTGGCCCTGGGACAAGGGTTGGAGAGGTGGCTTTCTCCTGGACAGACGTTCTGGTGGAAGCTGATGTTTCTTTGGTAAGCCCTTCCCTGGGTCAGCAGACAGCTGCCGTATCTGGGACTCCAGCAATCTGGCTCACACTGTTTGCCATGCCCTGATGATTCCCTGAGGCCCTGCCGCACCCAAATTGCAGGGCCCACCCAAGTTGTTTCCAAAGATTTTACCATAGGATTGGCCTGTCTTGGATCCTCCTTCAGAGTTTCCTAAAATCTCTCACACAAGCAGCATCTGGTCTCAGCAAGCCCAATACTTATCATTAAGTGGCCCCAGGCCTGGCACTAGACACAGCCAGCCATGGTTCACATCTTGGCTTTTCCTGGGCACCTCCAAGTCCAGCACAAGAAGCAGCCATTGGCAGATCACTTTGTAGCTTATGCTGGGTGGCCCCAGATAGAACACAGGTAGTGACTGACCTTGCCCCAGAGCCAGCACACCTGGTGGACAGCTTCAGATCACATGGAAATACCACCACCCAACCACCTCCACAATTGACACACTAAATGAGTAGAATCAGTGGGTACCAGAGCCCTGATGAAGTCAGTCTTGTTCTGTGTGGTGGGCCTCTACCCAGCTGATCCTCCAAAAGAGTCAGAGGTCAGTCCTTGCAGCTGATCAGCCTGAGTAAATCCCTCCCACTGACATGCCAACAGCATTAAGACTCAATTACAACAAAAGGGTATACAGTCCAAAGCAGGGGTGTACGTCCAGGCCCAGCTGGAGAGATCAGGGAGACTGTGCCACTGGTTCCTACAAGACACCTACAACAATAGGCCACCCTACGAAATCTAGGAGACATAGCAACTCTACCTAATACATAGAAACAATCACAGGGAAGCAGCCAAAATGAGGAGACAAAGAAACAGGTCCCAAATGAAAGAAAAAAAACAAAACTCCGGGAAAAGAATTAAACAAATAGAGACAAGCAATCAAGCAGATGCAAAGTTCAAAACACAGGTTATAAGGTTGCTCAAGGAACTTGGTAAGATATTTAAGGAACTTAAGGAGAACTTCAAGGAACTTAAGGAGAACTCCAAGGAACTTAGTGAGAACATCAACAACATAAAAAAGGACCAGTTAGAAATGAAGGATGCACTAATTGAAATAAAGAATAATTTACAGGGAACCAATAGTAGAGTATGTAAAGCCAAGAAGCAAACCATCTACTTGGAATATAAGCAAGCAAAAAACACCCAATCAGAACAGCAAAAAAAAAGAATCCCCCAAAAATGAGGATAGTGTAAGGAGCCTCTGGAACAACTTCAAGTATACCAACACTGGCATCATAGGGGTGCTAGAAGGAGAAGAGAGACAACAAGAAATTGAAAACTTATTTGAAACAATAGTGACAGAAAACTCCCCTAATTTGGTGAAGGAAACACACATACAAGTCCAGGAAGCACAGAGAGTCCCAAACAAGATGAACTCAAAGAGGACCACACCAAGACACATCATTATCAAAATGCCAAAGGCTAAATACAAAGAGAGAATCTTAAAAGCAGCAAGAGAAAAGCAGTTCATTACCTACAAAGGAGCTCCCGTAAGACTCTCAGTTGATTTCTCAAAAGAAACTTTGCAGGCCAGAAAGGAGTAGCAAGAGATAATCAAGGTGATGAAAAACAATGACCTACAACCAAGATTACTCTATCCTGCAAAGCTATCATTTAGAATCGATGGACATATCGAGAGTTTGCTGACAAGAAAAACTAAAGGAGTTCATCACCACCAAACTAGTATTATATGAAATGCTGAAGGGTCTTCTTGAAGTAGAAGAACAAAAATATGAACAATAAAATGGCAATTAATACATATCTATCAACAATTGAATCTCCAAACAAATGAGCAAGCAGAACAGAAACAGACTCATAGATACAGAGAACTTTTTGTTGCTTGCCAGATGGGCGGGGACTGGGGGGGATGGGTGAAAAAGATGAAGGAATTAAGAAGTACAAATTGGCCCTGGCCAGTTTGGCTCAGCGGTTAGAGCGTCGGCCTGCGGTCCGGAGAGACCCGGGTTCGGTTCCCGCTAAGGGCACGTACTTCGGTTGCAGTTTGTCCCCGGCCCTGGTTGGTCGTGCGGGTGGCAGCCACTCGATGTGTCCCTTCACATCGATGTTTCTCACTCTCTCTCCCTTCCTCTCTCTCCCTCCCACTCTATCTGTACAAAAAATGGAAAAATATCCTCGGGTGAGGATAAAAAAAAAAAAAGAAGTACAAATTGGTTGTTAGACTGATGAACCTCAAAGGGAAAGCGGGAGGGAGGGTGGTATGAGGTAAACCAAGAAACTTCTACGCGTATATGCACAACCAATGGACACTGATAATAGTGTGGGGAAGGCAGGAGGGGGCAGGAATGGGGAGGAGAGGGTCAATGGGAAAAAAAGGAAGAAACATCTGTAATACGTTCAACAATAAAGATGAGTTTAATAAAAATAAAATGTCCACACTACCCAAAGCAATCCATAGATTCAATGCAATCCCCATCAAAATGCCAACAATATATTTCACAGAACTAGAACAAATACTTCAAAAGTTTATGTGGAACCAAAAAAAGACCCTGAATAGCCACAACAATCTTGAAAAAGAAGAACAAAGTAGGAGGGATCACAATACCGAATATAAGGTTATACTACAAAGCCATTGTCATCAAAACAGCCTGGTACTGGGATAAGAACAGACATATAGATCAATAGAACAGTACAGAGAACCCAGAAATTGACCCAAGGCATGCTCAATTAATATTTGACAATAGTGGCAAGAGCATACAATGAAGTAAAGACATCCTCTTTAATAAATAGTGTTGGGGAAACTGGACAGCTACATGCAAAAGAAAAAATGAAACTAGACCACCATGTTACACCATATACAAGAATAAACTCAAAATGGATAAAAGACAAATGTGACTCGTGAATCCATAAAAATCCTAGAAGAAAATGTAGGCAGCAAAATTTCAAATATCACACGCAGCAGAATTTTCACTGATACATCACCTAAGGCAAGAGAAACAAAGGAAAAAATGAACACATGGGACTACATCAAACGAAAAAGCTTCTGCCCAGCAAAAGATGCAACCATCAAAATGGAAAGGGAACCCACTATATGAGAGAGCATAACTGCCAATGATACATCAGATAAGGGGTTCATTTCAAAAATATATAGAGCACTCATACAACTCAACAAAAGGAAGACAAAGAATCCAATTAAAAATGGGCAGAGGACTGCCATGACAGGTTTTGCTTGGTGGTTAGAGCATCGGCCCACGGACAAATGAGTTGCGGGTTCGATTCCGGTTGGGGGCACGTACCTCGGTTGCAATTTGTCCCCAGCCCTGGTATCTTGACCGTGGTGGTGGTTTAATGGATATATAAATATATCAAATTTTATCAAATTGTACACTTTAAGTATGTGCAGTTCACTGTATCTCAATTATACCTCACAATGTCTCTCTTTAAAAAAAACATCTAGGCAGCCCAGCCAGTGTGGCTTAGTGGATCGAGCATTGTGCCATGAACTGAGAGGTCCCAGTTTGATGGCTGGTCAGGGCACATGCCAGGGTTGCAGGCTCAATCCCCAGTAGGGAGCATGCAGGAGACAGCCTATAGATGTTTCTCTCTCACATGGATGTTTCTATCTCTCCCTCCCTTCCTCGCTCTCTTAAAAAAAAAAAAATCAATTAAAGAAAAAAAACCTAGGCAGTATTAGCTTTTTCTCTCAGCTCTAAAACAAAAACAGCGTATTGTCTTTCCTTTCTAACCATGATAGTATTATTTCCAAAACATTACAAAACTAAAAATAATTACCCTATATTCTCTACATTTTCCAAAGTGAACCTTCAGAATTTCAATACTAGGAGCAGATGTTAAGGGTTGCCAAGATACAAATATATTGACGAGAATATTTCCCCAACCATCTACTTCCACAACCCTGCTATCTCCCTTTTCAGGGGATATATGTGACTCCAAACATCTCTATTTTGCATCACTATGACCCAAATGCATCCTTATAATAAAATTATTGCCACTATCATACTCTTCAATCTTCCATACTGCCTTTTTTGTGGTCTCATCTTCCAGTTTTCCTTGGTAACTTATGATATCTATATTTAGTTTCATTTCATTTTCTCACATCTACCAGACTTTTATTTTTAATTTTTTAAAGACATGTTTAGAAGTAAAAAAAAGTATTTCTACATACCTCAAGTACTGGTCCAGCTCCAAGAATAATTTGTTCCACTCCACTGGCAAATCCTTTCTGACTGAGAGCAGTCAGGTGGTGAATAAGAAAATTTGTGCTTTGAGTCTTTCCAGAACCACTCTCTCCCGAAATCACAATGCACTGATTCTTTTTGCGCTGGAGCATGGTGTGATAAGCTACATCAGCAACAGCATAAATGTGGGGCTCAAGTTTTCCCAATTGGTGGTTATCATACATTTTAACATATTTGGGGTTATAAATAGGAAGAAACTTGAATGGGTTAATAACGATGAGAATACTGCCAACATAGGTATAAATTTTTTCATGTTTAAAGCGATTTCGTAGATTTTCTAAGAGAGTTTTCTCATTTAAATCAGGTAAGCTACATAAATCATCAAAGTCTTTCTGTTGAGGCTGTGGAAGAAAACCCCGTTCCATCATCCTGCGGCGTTCTTCTGTTACCCGTAGCCATGACTGAAGACTACCATAATGGATTGATCCATCAAGGTTCTTTTCTCTCAGAAGAAAGCGGTAGTCCTCTCCACTTAGGCGATTTTCCAGAGCCATTCGGGGCCACAACATCATTCGCTGAACTGGACAGTCTGTTGGATTGAGTATCCATTCTTCTCCACCAAATTCCTTTACCTCTGCTAGAACATAACATTTTGTTTTGTCAAGATGAAGTCTGTCTATAAGAGAATCAATCACCTCAGCAGCTGTGGAGTTTTTTCTGGCAGGAACTGGACAGTAGATTGTCCCTTCTGAAATTGTCCCAGGATATATATGTAATGTATGTTCATTATCTTCAAAGCGTCGTCTTCCTCCATCATTTATATTCATATTGAATCCTGTCCCATCAGCATGAATAGTTTGTGTTCAAGACTGTGCAAACCATTTTCATGGCAAAAGAACTGTAACAAAAGATATGAAACACATACAAGTCACATTAGACAATCATTGCCTTCTGATGATCAAGGAAGAAAGGCTTAACAATCATGTTGATTACATTTTTAGAACATAAAATTCTAACTCTTAGTATAGAAAGTCTGTCTTTATTAAATAATTCATGAATTGGGCAGTGTTCCATCTAACAACTTGAAGGGTGCTCAGGAGGAAGTGTCTTGAAAACAATCTCACTGAGACCACATAATATTACACTTTATTGTCTAAATGTAGACACTTTCTAAAACAGCAATTTGCCAAAAATTGTTTCAATGTTTTATTAATAAAATCCAAGAAGTACAAATAAAAATTATAGTCTTCTACTATCTCAAATGTTCCTAAAGTACCTGAGATTAGAATCTGGTTCTTCCTTTATATTTGAAGAGCCTCTCTGAAGACTGATTAAGATGGACAGAATAATCGCACAAATCTAATCACCCTGCATTGAAAAGCTCTTATGAATAAAGCAAAAAACAAGAAAGAAATGATACTGATGGAGCAAAAATTTTTTGAAATTAAAAATATTAAGAAGATGAGTTCAGAGAGAAATTAAACTACTTTAATTTAATTAACCAAGAGATTAGAAAAGCTGCTAAAGAACAGACATATTTTCAAGGACTCCTATACTTGACTCTCCAAGGTAGAGAGGTGAAGGGAGAAACAAAAAGATCCTGCCCCTGGCTTGAACAAAGCTGAAAAATTTATACAACTAGACACCATTGCAAATTTTATTCAACCTTCCCTTTTCCTTCAATGCTACCTTTTTATCGAACTTTATTTCATTCCTTATAAGTATTCTGCATATCCTTCCAATCTTATCATATATCACACCTCTAGAAAAATGAATTCAACTTTTATACCTCCCTGAGAAAATAGTGATTTACTTTAAATGACTTCTCCAAATCAAAATGCATTCCTCTTTTCATCTCATCTCTATTCCTCCATTCTTGTCTACAGAGAAAATATGTGCCACATCCTTTTCAGGGCTCATAAAATCCATTTTTTAACATCTCTATCAGTAACTTGTCCCATCAAAAATACTCTCATGTGTTATCAATCTTTCCCTTTTGACACACAAAGATGTGTTTTTAAATACCTTCAATTACTTCTCTCTCATACTACTACATTATTTGTCAAAGTCCTCTAATAAAGAAACTTTTTACCTTTTTCCTAGATGACCTTTTGTATAAAAAACAGCCATAAATCTAGCACTCAAATTCAATAAGTTTGAAAACTGCTATAATTGCTCCAGGTCATCTTATAAATACAATTTAAAGATGCAGTTGTAGTTCCTTATTTTGCTCTGCAGAGGTAACCACTATTCTGAGGTTGGTATTATTCTCATACATATTTTTTTTAAATATGTTTTTATTGATTTTTTTAGAGAGAGAGAGAAACATTAATGTGAGAGAGAAACGTCGATCAGCTGCCTCCTGCACATCCCCTACTGGGGATCGAGCTGGCAACCCAGGCATGTGCCCTATCCAGGAATCAAACCAGGACCTCTCAGTCCACAGGAGGACAATGAATCCACTGAGCCACACCAGCTGGGCTCCCATACATATTTTTTATTTCAGTAACATTTGTGGGTCTCCATGAATTATACAGTACTTTTTCAGATTTTTAAGCTTTAAAAAAATGGAGTCATACTAAAAAGTCTGTGTCCCTCTTTAACTTAATAATATCTTTTCTGCCCTGGCCGCTTTGGCTCAGTGGTTAGAGCGTTGGCCTGCGGTCCTGAGAGACCCGGGTTCGGTTCCCGCTAAGGGCACGTACCTCGGTTGCAGTTTGTCCCCGGCCCTGGTCGGTTGTGCAGGTGGCAGCCACTCGATGTGTTCCTTTCACATCGATGTTTCTCTCTCTCTCTCTGTTCCTCTCTCTCCCTCCCACTCTACCTGAACAAAAAATGGAAAAATGTGCTCTGGTGAGGATAAAAAAATAATAATAATAATAATATCTTTTCTATTTATAAATGCTGATGCATATTAAGTTCAGTAACCGCCAAATAATAAGCCCCCGTACGTAGATTCATTAACTGTAAGAAAGTTCCACTCTGATGAGGGATGTTAATTAATGGGGGAGGCTATGTATGTGTGGGGGCAGACAGGGGATATATGGGAAATCTCTGTACTTTCTGCTCAATTTTGTTGTGAGCCTAAAACTGCTCTCTAAAAAAACAGGTTTTTAACCCCATTATATGATTATGCCACAATTTACCATCCTTCTATTAAACACTTAAAAGGTTTCCAATATTATACTATTAAAACAATGCTGCAATTCTTATACATGTCTCTCTCTTTTTTTTTTTATACTCACCTGATGATATTTTTTCCATTGATTTTTAGATAGAGTGGGAGGGAGGGGGTGGAGAGAGGGAGAGAGAGGGGAAAAAGGAGAAGGAAAAGGGGAGAGGGAGGGGTGGGGGGGGAGAGAACCAGAGAGACATCAATGTGAGAGATCGATTGGTTGCCTCCCACACAACCCCTGCCTGGGATAAATCTGCAACCCAGATATGTACTGTCCTTGACCAAGAATTGAACCCAAGACTCTGAGCCATGGGCAAGGCTCTTGAACCACTGAGTCAAACTGGCAAGAGCTTTTCTTTTTCCTTTTTTTAAATGTGTCTTTATTAAAGTATTACAGATATCCCCCAGTTTTCCCCCAATGACCCCCCTCCTTCACCTACTTCCCCCCCACCTTCACCCTCTATTGTCTGTGTCCATTGGTTATACATATATGCATGTAAGTTCTTTGGTTAATCTATTCCTGCCCCCTCCCCTCTTTCCTCTGAGTTTCATGAGTCTGTTCCCTGCTTCCATGTCTCTGGATCATACATGTCTCTTTATGTGCACTTGCTAGAATTTCTCTGGGCTTCATAACTAAAAGTGGAATTGCTGGGTTTTAAGCATCTTCAACTTTACTAGATATTTAAAAAATGTTCTCCAAAAACGTCAAGCTATATCAACTATTTCGCAGCCAGCATATGAAGAACTCACGTTTTTCTGCCTCCTTACCAATAAAAGTATTGTCGGACTTGAGTTTCTGTCAAGATAAGTGTAAAAATCGATCTCATTACTTTAATCTGCATTCCCCTGATTACTAGTGAGGATGGATAACACTTATCCTATCACTTGCGTTTGGGTTCTGTTGCTTTTTCTGTTTTATTTTTTATCCTCACCTGAGGACATTTTGTTGTTGTTGTTGTTGTTGTTGTTGTTCAGATAGAGTGGGAGGGAGAGAGAGGAAGAGAGAGAGAGAAACATCGAGGTGAAAGGGACACATCGAATGGTTGACACCCACACAACCCAACCAGAGAGAGGAAGAGAGAGAGAGCAACATCAAGGTGAAAGGGACACATCAAATGGTTGACACCCACACGACCCAACCAGGGCCAGGGATAAACTGCAACCGAGATACATGCCCTTAGCAGGAACTGAACCAGGGCCTCTCTGGACCATAGGCCGACGCTCTAACTGCTGAGCGTTATAATTTCCCTTTTTATAATTATCTTTTCTTTAACTGATTTGAATGAGTTTTTCATATATCCGAATGTTAATCACTTTTCAGTTGCTTGTGTAACAAATATCTTCTACCAATCAGTGATTTATCTATTTTGTTTCATTGTCTTTTGTTATAGATAAGTTTTTATTTTTAATAGTCAAACATATCAATTATTTACAGATATGATTTGCTTTTTTAATAAACATTAACATTTACACTTAACTCTTTTTTTTTTTCCTTTATTGATTTTAGAGAGAGAGGAAGTGAGAGGGAGAGAGAGATAGAAATGCCAATGAGAGAGAATATCAATTGGCCGCCTCCTACATGCTCCCTTCTGGGGATCGGGCCCACAACCGGGCATGTGTCCTGGCCGGGAATCGAACTGGAAACCTCTTGTGCATTGGTCAATGCTCAACCACTGAGCCACATTGGCTGGACTACACTTAACTCTTATTGTGTGCTTATTTGTACTAGTTATTTTTCTAAGGATTGCATATAAATTATTTAATTAACCCTCACGATTCCTCTGAGTGTTGTTTTTATCATCACCATCTTCATTTTACAAATGAGGAAACACAGAAAGAATATATAATTTTCTCAACATCATAAATAGAACGTGATAAAGTTGAGATTTGAATCGAGCAGACTGGCTCTATAACCCACACCGTATTATCTACTGGTATAGTTTTTAAAAATCCTTCCTTGCCCTGGCTGGTTTGGCTCAGCGGTTAGAGCATCGGCCTGCGGTCCTGAGAGACCCGGGTTCGGTTCCTGCTAAGGGCATGTACCTCGGTTGCAGTTTGTCCCCGGCCCTGGTCGGTTGTGCGGGTGGCAGCCACTCGATGTGTCCCTTTCACATCGATGTTTCTCTCTCTCTGTTCCTCTCTCTCCCCACCCCACTCTACCTGAACAAAAAATGAAAAAATGTCCTCGGGTGAGGATAAAAAAAAAATAAAAAAAATAAATAAATAAATAAAAATCCTTCCTTATCGTACCTAAAAACATAATTATTACTCTATATTTTCTTATAAAGAGCCTAAGTTCTACTTTTCTCATTTGGGTCTTTAATTTGTATGGAATGTATTTTCATGTATGCTGTGGAATAGGGCTCTTAATTATTTTCATACCAATTCAGATTAGTAACTAAACCAGCACCACAGTGAAGATCTTGTCTAACCTTTCCCCACTTATATATATAATATACCATCTTTGTCATGTAGCCAATTCCACTAAAACATCAAACTGTTCTGGACTCTCTATTCTATTCTACTAGTCTATTTATCCATCCCTGAGCCTATTTAATTATTATAGCTCTATAATAAGTTTTTATATCTGGAGGGCATATCACCTCTATTTGTTCTTCTTTCAAGTTATTTTCACTCCTTACTCTCCCTTAAGAATTTTAAAAGCAACATATCAACTACCATAAAATAACCTTTTGGCAGTTTAATACTACATTGACTGTATA